ACTATTACCATAGGGATGGCTGGTGATAATAAGAAGCATGCGAGAGTATCGGCTGCGCTCAACTATCCTACTATCCAGCTTGGTGTCTATAAAAATCTCTAAAGTATTACGTTGTATGTCAGCAGCTACATTTTGTGCGGGATTTGAAGTTTGAACCCATGACCCGCAGTATAACAACCAAATATTTAGCCACTGCGCTACAGAGATGTTTCCTGTGTATATAATACACAAATAGGCACGCGATGGTTTAATCAGCCAGCTATTTTATTAATTGCCGGCATTCAAAAGTTAACTTAGCCGAATTGCTTAACGTAAAGTTTGCAAAAGGGCTGGGCAAGTTGGCCATTAGAAGAAATGAAATTATTACAAGGTTATTATTAGTTTGGTACAAGTTTTAGGCCAAAATTATGTTTAAATTTAATTCAATTGGATCATTCGTAAATGAAATCCACGTTTTTAACATTTCAAACAGCACCGATTATATCGATAATTTGACAAAAAATACTTGAAATTACAATAAAAATAAATAGGTAAGTGTTGCAATGGATATTACCTAATAGTGAGTTAGTATATCTATGGTGACTACTAAATTTCATGGCTTGTAATCACACTGGCTCTATACCCTCGAGTCATATAACACATGAGTAAAGAAACAGACTTTCTTTACCCATGTTATCATCCTACCTATTAATTTGACTACCAAAGGACCTGAAATAATTCGTAATCACAGCAATTTCATCCTTTTAAAGATAATATATTTTATTAAATATGAGCCTTTCTATGGTTTTTTGTGTTTAGAACACCTGACTCCCGATGCCGTTGAAACCGAGGGGTAAATAAATGTTTTATTTAACGCCTCCCTTCTCGGCCTCTGAATGCTCGTTGGGCGAGTTAACCTCGCACTTAAAAAGAGGTAGGCGCTTAAAAGATAAGTATTTAATTTAATTAGGCAGGCTTTTTCAGAAAAACACATACAAGGACGTTTAAAATGAATAATATGCAAACTTAAAACTTTTTACACTCGACCTCTCGAGAATAATTAGTTAATGTGACTTACGCCATCTATTGGTGCGCATAGTTAACAAAAAATTTTACGATATCGTTGAATTGCTTAGGTAGTAATAGTTTACCAGATTATTGATAGATGGCATAGCATTAAAACATTTAAAAAAATGTGTCCATTTATTTAAATTAAATCGTAATAACTTTATAAAATATAATGATTTAGATTTATGTATATCTTAAAGCAAAGACATTTAAGGAGTAGTAGTAATAGACCGGACATCAGCAGCAAAATTGTCGTCTGTAACGAGTGGCGTAGCTATGTAACCAAGGGTACTGTAGTGCAAAACTACTACATCATCAGCTCCTTGTCCAGCGTGAAGTAGAAGTTTACTTCGTCTATTAAGTGCAGGTGGTCTGGTGGCCTAACCCCTCTTCCCCTTAACATGGTATTTTAATGAAATAAGAAACATTCCCAGAAGGATACCAGCACCCCTGGTATTGGAGAACCCCAGGCTGAGCATCCAGGCCCAAGTTACCCTACTCTTCCTTAGCGCGGGTGCTCAGGCTGCCTCGCGTATCCTGGGTAGAGGGAGGGGGGCGAAATTCCGCTTAAGACTAATACTGGTTGTGGTAAGTCCTGACCTGTAGATGGCGAAGCCAACCTTGCTCTTTCTAATCGACAGTTCCCATCTGCAGAGTTCGTGATCCTTGGTGATTTTAACAGCCACCATGCTGAATGGCTTGGTTCTCGTCTAACAGATCATGCGGGAAGATCTGTTTATGACTTTTACTTCACCTACGCGGATTCTAGATGTGAAGGTTCGTGCACCTTTACTGTAGGACCTTCTGCTGACCTCTCATCCGGACGGATATCAGGTCTCCGTCGACGCCCTTCTTGGCTCATTGGACCATTGTTTGACCCGGACTATGGTTCCACTCACACTCCCATCGTGGTTGCATTCTGCAGATCGCCGCCGTGTTTGGCACTATAGATCGGCTGTTTGGGACAGGATGCGGTCTTTTTTTGCATCCTTCCCTTGAGGGCAGAGGCGGGTATGCGTCTCGCCGGATGATCCCAACGTGATTCTGTCGCTGATATGGTACTTCAGGGAATGGAATTATTTATTCTATCATCTGTGATGCCTGGTTTGGTCGCTCCTGTAAAATTGCATCGCGCTATAATAGGAGTGCTTGACCAGCACTGTTAAAAAGAAGTATAATTTCGCCTTCAGGTCGGTAAGATACGGTTTACACAGCGCTCGGTGCACATAGCACTACTCTCTCTTGACGTCAATTCCTGACCTGATGGAGTTTCTCCCATTGTGCTGACTACGTGTGCTCCCTAGTTGGCACCAGTCGTAACGTGTCTTTTCTAAATTTTTTTCTCCCTAGACGTAGTCCCGAATTCAAAGAATACAGCTTTAGTGCACCAGATCCCTAAAAAATAATCGCAAATCAACCACTCAGATCTATCCAACTTGTTCTCCAAAATCATGAAAACTATTGTGAACTGCTAGCTCATGAGGTTGAGGATCACCAGCTGAAAAGTGACCGCCAGTACGATTTCCGTCGGGGTTACTCCACTGGTGATCCTCTGGCTTACCTGACTCATAAATCGGCGGAGGCAGAGAGGGAGATCCTGGCCGTTACTTTGAACATAGCGGAGGCTTTCGATCGAGTTTAGAACAAAGCGCTTCTTTCGAAGCTCCTTTACGATGGGCTTCCACAGAATTTGTGCAAGGATCACCAGTTTTCTTGCAGGTTGAAGCAACAAAATCGTAGTAGAAGGTGCATACTCCGTTTAAAAGATGCAGGTATCCTACAAGGCTACGTGCTATCACCTACGCTGTTTCTTCTTCTTATCAATAATATATTGCAAGCCAGTAACGTGCACTGGTGATGCTTTATACTCCGGCTGTGCATATACTTTTCGGGAAAACGTCGTCGTGTACCGCAACAAAGGTAAGGTCTCCGATTGGGACGACTAAATCTAATTAATGCCCAGAAGACACAAGTTTGCGCTTTTACTACTAAAAATATCCCTTTTGTCGTAACTCCTCAATTTCATGGTACTCCCCTAGTTACATCAGTCAGTATCGGAATCTTCGGCGTTGACATATCGAATAACGTGCAGTTGCGTGGTCACTTGGAAGGGAAGGCTGAATTAGCCTTTAAAAAGCTTGGTGTGCTCAGCAGAGTGGGACAGTGTTTTATGCCGGCACACTGCTTGCAACTTTACAAGGGGCAGGTTCGGCCTAACATGGAATACTGTTCTCATCCCTAGGCCGGGGTTCCCTAGTAACAGCTCCTTCCACTTGACCGCATCCAGCTCGGAGCGACTCGAATCGTCGACTACCGACGAAGACGAAAGACGAGACAAAGAGATGTTGTATCCCTTAGCATTTTCCATCGCATTTACCACGGAGAGTGTTCAGAGGAATTGTTCGAATTAATTCCAGCCATAAAATTTTATCAACGCTTTTCACAAATCCACATCGTCGGGATGTTTGGTGGTCCACTACTGTCGGACCGATACGACATAGGGAGCTTCAAGAAACAAGCTTACTCCTTTTTAAAAAGCGCCTGCAATTCCCCTGGTGTTGTATTTGTTAATAGGCGCTGGTCGACACTTACCATCAGGTGAGCCTCATGATCGTTTGTCACACTCTTCGATATAAAAAAGACAATAAAACGAAGTAGACAATTATCTTTAACAATGTTATATTTATGTTCTGGAAGTGGGAGTAATTTTTGTGATTTCAGTTCGACCCGTTCGCGGTCAGGGGCCAAAAAGTTAAAACTCGAAAATTCTTTATACAACTAGGATAATACATAATTTTTTGAACGTCGTTCTTGAAGGCCGAGGAGCCCCTTTTCCTTGGGGGCCCCGGGGCACTGCCCCGCCTAGCCCCTAGGTAGCTACGCCACTGTCTGTAACTTATGTCCTATAGGATATATTATCTCCGTTAATCTTAGTTATAGATAATATATGGTCTTAGTGACATCGTCACAAAGTCAAGACGCATTCTTTTTATATCTTTAAAAAATATTTTTATAGAAAATATATGCTCAGTTGTGCATTAAGAAATATCTTAACTTAACTTACAATAGTAAGTCACGATATGGAGCAAAAAATGAACGTTATTTTGGTTTGTCATCGTAAGTATTACGCATATTTACCGAATAATCTTTAAATTTTATTATTTCTAGTAGATTTATTTATTTATTGAACATTTATATTTATTGTAATAAGCGTCCTCTGTTATCCAGTAAACTAGAGGGTGCCACACGCGCACTAGCTCAAAGTTTTTGTATATAAATGTTCCCAATGTCCGCTCTATAGTATACCTATATATTTAAATCTCTATGTTAATAATAGAAGGTAGATATAATTTAGCATAAAATTTAATAAAATTAGATAAATTTTTGTTACCTATAAGCATACATATTGGCTTTTGCTTTTTCTATTATTATGATCACTAAATTATGTACCTACCTAATAATGTTAATTGGATGGTTATTGGTAAGTATGACTTTTTTTTTATATTATTCTAAGCCAGCGCTTAACTACAATCCCGCCTGATGCCCAAACTCATTTGTTGACTTTTGCTGTCAACAAACGAGTTTGTATCATAGACTTACAGTCTTGAATATACTAGCGTAACTACTTCCTATCCTAAGTCTATGTTTTTGTATTAATGTATTGATTCTTACGTTCCTGATCGTGATCGTTAGTCGATCGTTTTGACCGTTGTGTATGAGCATATAGCATAGTTTTAAGTGGTGTTTCCCGTGGTCCTGCCAATGTGCAACGGAGATGGAACATCATAGGGTGTAGTCGGTGCCAGTCCTTGAATCAGCGAGGCGAGTATGCGTAAGGATTTTCCCTTGTAAAAAGAGGATGTATGGGCATAGATTCCTATGCTTTTAAATAAAAACAACAACATAAGTGTCACAGTGACAGTGACAGATGTTATACAGTTATTGTTGTCAAAATGGCACGTCAGCAGCAAGATGTTGATGAATTATTCGATGTTAAAAATGCTTTTTATATTGGAAATTACCAGCAAGCTATTAACGAAGCACAAAGTATTAATGTAAGTCGAAATTGATATTTTCCTCTATGTAAGTCATACCGACATGCACTTTTAATCCGCAAGTCTTGTTTGGATGACGTGTTTCCTTACTTTATGGTATTTTAATCTTTAAAATTTTAATAAACATAGTATAATATCCGTTGTTAATGAATACAATAGAAAGAAGAATAAACGAGAATTTATTTACAGCAAATCATATTACATTGAACAACGACTTACAACTTATAATGATACCTTACCCGCTTATAATAACTTGTAGGGTTCGGACATAAACTTGTGAAGGATTGTAAGGATGATGATTTTGTTCTGGATTTGTATCTATAGTTTTAAATATCATTAACAAGGTTGACCATTGCTACAACTTTCAAATAAAAGGTAGCAATAAGCCCAATATTATACTTAGGCTTTGAAAGAACATCACTATACAATCAGACCAGAAGACTAACAATTTGTGTTTTTATCCAAATGTTTCAAACCTGAGGCCCACAGTGTAGTTTCCAGGTACTCTGGTCTAGGTTATATCTAGGTAGGTTTACCTAGGTTGTTCTGCACAAAAACATATAAAGTTGCCAACTACCAAAAGCACCAATAAACGATAAAGTGAGAGCTGGAGCTGGATACATATGTTGTTCTATTGTCTTAGTTTCTAAAAAGGTTTTGCTTGTTTTGGTCACAACTTACAATCTATAAATCAGATAATTAATTGTTGTTTAAATATACTTCATAATATACAAAAAATTTAAATTCTTAACTTGTTTAGTTTTAGAACTGTAAAATGTGGGCTACTATTATTTTATTTTTAAAGATAATTTTTTTTTAAATAAATTTGTACTCTACTCAATGATCTTTAGACATTATCATTTGACGTGTTAGAGTAAGAAACAAAATTTTGGGTCATTTTTTGTATAATATAAAATGCTTTAACTGAATTTCTTATTCAATTTTTAGTTTTGGGTCAATATTCTTTACCAAATATCCAAATTTCAGGGCTGTAATTATAACAATTAAACATCAATAGGACCAGTTTTCCCTTTGAGTGTGGTACCTCAAAACCTGCAATCTAATGTTGCCATGTTATTTAGTTTTGTGAATGGTGAAAATTTTGAAACACATCATCGTCATCATTACAGCCCTTCACAAGTCACTGCTGAACATAACTTCCCCTAAGGAATGCCATACTTTCAGAACCACTTCTGAGCCACCTGCACACATTGACTTCCTGTATATCTTACCAGTTCGACACTCCATCTAGTGGGGTCGCCCTACACTTTGCTTATGTATGAGGTTGCCAAGCGAGAACCTTTCTTCCCCCATTGCTTATTGGTTCTTTGAGCTATATGGTTAGCCTATCGCTACTTCAGCTTAACTAATCTGTTTGCCTATGTGGTTCTGGTTCTACTGCGGATGTCCACATTTCTAAGTCTATCACGCAGAGAAACCCGAGCATAGCCCTCTCCACCTACTACTAAACACTTGAAACACCTATTCTTCTTTACTTCCAAAGCAAAGAGTAAAAGCCGGCTTCAAAGGATTAAAAGGAATAAAATAATTTCCACATAATAGCTGCTGGAATTTGAATCTTAACTCTTCTATACACCATGTCTTAACATCTTTGCCCTAACCACCACCATCACAACCACACCACCACCTGCCAAGTATTTGGAAAATATGGGGGATATTTGAGACAACTTATTGGGGAAGCCTATGTCCAGCAGTGGGCTTTTAATTGGCTGTAAGGAATTAATAAAATGCAAATATAATTTTACTAAATTAAGTTTTGTATATTTATTTACAGCCGTCATCTCCACTAGTGTCTCTTCAACGTGATGCTCTTCTCTATCGCTCCTACATTGCCCAGGGAAACTACAGAATTGTCTTGCAGGAGTTAAAAAATGCTGATCCTATGCTGCAGCCCTTGAAGACACTTGTTGATTACCTTTCCCCTGGGGCAAACAAGCTTGCTATTGTTGCAGACATAGATGCTAGGGTAAGTATACATAAAAATTTTACACGTCTATTATATATTGTATAATAATTTGACACATTTAATAGAATGTTCTTTTTACCATCATCACAAATGTTAATATTGTGCAAGCATCACATTGGTATTATCTTTATATATAAAAATTATGTGTTAAGTTGTTTGTCTGTGATAGACTCCTAAACTACTGAACTGATATCAATGAAATTTTGCACACTGTGTGCATTTTGGTCCAACTTGAGAGATAGGATAGTTTTTATCCTGATAAATGACCCCCAAAATTTTTTATTACGAATTTAAGGATTTTTTAATAGGACAGAGGGTCGTCGGTATGGGCAGAACAACATCTGTCTGGCTAGCTAGGTTTAACATAAAATAAAACATAGGCTACAACACTACTAAAGATACCCTGCTTTTCATAATTCCGCATACTGTAAAGGCTATGGAAGGTCATAAAGAACCAGACAACAAATTATAATTTGTATTTATATACATAATTAAAATATAATACATATAAAAAAAATATATACCTTAAAACCTAACCTTCTCTCTAAGGTAGCTTAGGAATGAATTTTCTATTAACTTAGATTTACCTCTTCTTGTGTTCTTAAAAAGTATATCTACATAGTTAAGAGTATGTTTGGGTGTTATATAGACATTCTCCTCATACTAGTCAGAGTATGACTTATTGCTATTTTCTTATTCTCTTTGGGTAAGTTTAAGCTTGTAGTGCTTGTATTCCAGCTTTTGAATAATAATTTTTTAAAGTTGAATTAAGTTATATATTGACAATTTTTTTTTTATTAATATAACATAAATAACACAGTATTTTTTTTATATAGAATAGGGTAACAAACGAGCACACAGTCCACCTGATGGTAAGTGGATGCTGTGGCCCATAGACATCTACATTTATCCTCAATTAACAATCAAAATGCTGACTCGTTTCCAGTAAAAAGTGTCTCCGGTTCTCTACGCTCACCATAACAAACACAGCAGCATTAAACTGCAATTTTACGCTGGTATTACGCAAAATACACGCTTAGACGAGGAGTAACGGTAAACAGCCCTTCGTAAACTAAACTTTTACCCTGGTATTCTGTGAGAGTGTGGTTTTACCCCAGTTGAGCCAACCCATTTGTGCTACAACCATAATATAGCTGCAGCGTGGCTCTACTACGTGTTTTTATTTAATACTTTAGTTAAACAATTTAGGTGGCTTCTGGAACAAAATTCTTTTTCGGACAGTATAGATTTGGCGGAATGGGGCCTAGGCGACAAAAAGTGTAAGATTTTTCCGTCACGACCCCTTCTGACGTAGTGTAGACGGCCTTGGCGGCTGCAAGGTAGTGAGATGGAATATTATTATCGATCTTCCTTGCACTTTTTCTTGTCTTGCCTTGATAAAAAAATATAATTTTTTTTTCTTTTTAAAAACGTTACCCCCACACTAGGATTTTCTCCTGTATCGTGGAGGCAGTTTACAAACACAAATTGCACAAGGACAAACATCCAGACACGGAACAATTATTTGTAGGCCATAGAAATACTTGTTCCATGCGGGATTCGAACCCGCGACCCCCGGGCAGCAACTCATTGCTACACCACTGCGACACGGAGCCGTCAAATTTTTATTTTAAATGACGCTTCATTTTAATGGGAGTTAGAAATTCATTGATTTGTATTTGTTAATCAATAATATAATACGTTTATCAATAATAATATACTATGAAAGGAACTTCGCTCCAGCCGAGTTTTCCACAACACTCACGCAGGTTGTTTTATTTACCAATAGGGTATACTCTGCCATTGTGGAAGTATATAGAAGTCCACTGTCTTATATAATTTTCAACTAGATCAAATGATAGTTGCAGTCAGTCGTATTATAAACTTTTTTTTGATATTGCACTCATTATACGATTTCAAAGTGAGGAATGGGGAAATAAGAAAGGATTGAGGAATCTTTCGTTGATATTGCACTCATTATACTATTTGAAAATGAGGAATATTTTTATTTTATTTTAAGATCAAGAAAGTGAGTAAATAATACATAGTATGTTATTTTACTTTAATTTTCCAGGTGGCAAAGGGTACTGAACTTACAAACGATATATTCCTACTCGTTGCTGCCAGCATCTACTACCACGAAGACAATTATGAAGCAGCTTTAAAGTAAGATAATTTATTATACGTTGAACCATGTTTTACCCCATATGATCTTATAGGTGCTATGGAGGAAAACAGGAACAGGAGATGGCAGCAGTATTTCATTAATTAATTACAGTATTTCAAAGTATTTTAGTAGGAATTCAGTGACTTTGTAGTCAAGGACGTAATGTCAGTAAAATATTTTTCAAAAAGTACACAGTTACCAATAACTTGCTGAACTGATTTAGTTTTTAATTTATAACAATAAACTTAATTTTTAAAATTTAATTGCTAGTTTATTCTGAGTGGCTTGATGTTACCAGTTCTGTTATTAATTATACTCCTTTAGGTCTTTTTTTAAGAACTAGATTTATTTAAATGTGTAGTGTTCACGTAAATATAAGACATCGTTTAGATCCAATTGCAATTCAGATTTTAGTTGGTATTCGGATCATACATGTCCCATAGACACCTCCATTGACATAATGATTAAATGATTACATGATTAAATAATATGTTTTTTATAGGAATAGAGTTACAAACGAGCACAAAATTCACCTGGTTATAAGTAGTTGCTGTGGCCCATAGACATCTACATCCATCCGCAACTACGAATCAAAATGCAGATGCGTTGTCACCCGTGAGAACTAAGATAGAATGTCTCGTTTCCAGTAAAAGTGGTCTCCTGTTCTCCACACTCACCACACAAAACACAGCAACATTAAGCTGCTATTTTACGCTGGTAATCTGTGACAGCGTGGTCCTTCCCCGGACGAGCTGACCCATTCGTGCTACAACTATACTACTGATATAGCTGCAGCATAACTCTACCATGTAAAAAACATAATAACAAAAAATTACCGGCCAAGTGCGAGTCGGACTTGCGAATGAAGGGTTCCACCATCCACCATCGTAAGCCTTCTGATAGACGGATAGACAGCGGAGGCTTTGTAATAAGGTCCCGTTGGTTACCCTTTGGGTACGGAACCCTAAAACCAACATAACACTATCTTAATATCTTTGCTTAGTAAAAGGAGCATACTTATTTCCGTCGTACCTAGTATGTTTTGTAAAAGCTTTTAAGGCTATAGCCTGTACAATTAAAGACTGGGCCTTAATCATGAGGGTTGATATGCTCGTACCCTGTAATTTTCTTTTTTATAATTGACTGCTATAATCATCATCATCATCATCAGCCTGTAATAGTCCACTCCTGAACATAGACCTCTCCCAAGGAGCACCATACAGCCCGGTCTTCTTTTGCAAAATATGTTATAAATATATTTGCAGAATCCTACACGGAGCCGAGTCATTGGAATTGCGTGCATTCACACTGCAATGTTTACTGGCGATGAACCGTCCAGACTTAGCGAGGAAACAACTAAAACTTCTACAAGATATAGAAGATGATGGCACTCTCACTCAACTGGCACAGGCTTGGCTCAACTTGTCGCAGGTGACTACATATTTTTCTTGAATTTATAGACATTAAATTGCATAGAAAGCGTTTGTAGCTGATTGTCACTTACTATGTCGTATTTATGACACACTATATCATAATTCATTTATTGCATCTATATTTTTGCACCTTATATCTTATCTAGCACCATATATATTAGCACTGACTTAAGAAGCTATAGTGCCCGCGTTATCAAATGACTCGTCGGGCCATAAATGTCATTAACAATAGGAATGTGCCACTCGCTACCTCAGTCCGCCTTATCGCGGCGGACAAAGCTACCCTCATTGAATTTGTCGTTACTTGGTTATGTTTAGTAAGGTAACTAGGTAAGGACCTCTGTACATTTTTTCATTTCTATTTCTCACTTCGATCTCGACAGTTATGAAAATTATTATCTAGCATGGATTTCCAATATTCATAATTTTGATATAAGTGTACTCTGAATTAAGGCCCGATCTTAAATGTGGGCAAGCTTCCATGTGGAAAATATTAAAGGATATTGGATATAAATTTAAGAAAAATATGGAAGGGTGGAAGTATTTAATGGAAAGAAGTGATATTATTTGTACTAGGATGGATTTTTGAAGAAAATTAGACGACTTGAAGAACACAAAAGATCAACGGCCACGATTTCACCTTGACGAGATATGGGTGAATCAAAACCATTCCAGAAAACATATGTGGTTTGGAGAAGATGATGTAGCTAGTTTTAAAAATCAACCAGTGGGAAAAGGACAGAGACTGATTGTTTGTCACGCTGGTTCTGCAAAGCCTAGTTTTGTACCTGAGGCAAAATTTATATACAAGGCCGTAGTATAAGGATGCTGACTATCATAATGAAATTGATGGCGAAACTTACAAGGAATGGTTTCTTAATTTTTCGAACGTCTTAGAAGAACCTACAGTAATTATCATCGATTACGCCAGCTATCACTATGCAAATGGAAAGAATTCCAACATCTGCTACAAAAATGAAAGACATTCAGGAGCGGTTAACGAAAAACAACATCTCATTTACAAATAATGAAATAAAAGAAGAACTGTTACGAAAAGTTAATGAGAGTAGGCCTAAAAAAATATTTAATATATCAGCTGGCAAATGAACATGGTCATGATACGACTGCCACCATATCATTGTCAATATAATCCTATTGAGCTCATATATGGGTTCAGGTAAAAGGAGGAATTGCAGCACAAAACCATAATTTTAAAATAGCCGATGTTGATGTTTTTCTGCATAAAACGATAGAAAACGTTACCAAGGAATACTGGGTTAAATGTGTGAAGCATGCAAAAGACTTCCAGGAAACGGATTTGAAAAAAGATTTTTTGAGAGATCAAGTTGAACCTTTGATTATAAATCTACAAGAAGACGATAGTGACACAGATAACTTGGATGAAGAAGATCGTTTGTAATTTAAAAAAATATTTATATATGTAGATTATATTTTATTTATTTTATTGTGTTATTTTATAATTACATAATTTCAAACCTTAAATCCGAAAATCCAAAAAATCCGTTAAATTTTATCGATATCAACTACCTGCTGTTAAGGGGCTACTCCATGCGAACGACCTTGAGCATTTGGTGTGCCGCGCCGACTCGCTACAATATAATATCACGTAAGAAATACGTAAGGCGCCACCTACTGTAAGAACGTAGTATTTTTTCAACATCAATAAACTATTTTATGGAAATACACACAGCGTACAACGATAAATGTATCTCAAATTTTTTTATTCGGTATATTAGTTGCATTATATTAGAGTTATGTATTCTCATATAATATTATCTAATTATGAAATTTTATAATTAATTATATATTAAAAATGAAGCATTGAAAATTGTGAGTTTAAAAGATACCTACTCACTATAGGTAAATAGATAGATAGCTCGCCTTTTGTACAAATATTTGGTGCAATAAAGAATAAATAAATAAATAGGATGTTTCGCAGAGTGAGAGTAACATAGAATGAGAGTCGTGGAGGCAGTTTACAAACATAAATTGCACAAAGACAAACATCCAGACCCGGAACAATTATTTGTAGGCCATACAAATCTTGTTCCATGCGGGATTCGAACCCGCGGCCCCCAGTGCAGCAACTGATTGCTAAGCCACTGCGCCACCATGAAGCTAATACAAAGACTAACTTTGTATTTGCTTCATAGTCGCCGGGTTATAGCTAAAGTGACCATACGTCCCGTTTAGAACGGGACTGTCCCTTTTCTCGGTCTCCTGTCCCATTGTCCCCAAACAAAGCTCCGGGACACAAAATTGTCCCGTAACTCGTTGGATGGAAGTATTCAAAGTCAACAATCTTCAACATAATTTTTTTTATCGAATATATTTTATGTCTACCTGGTACGAATGCTCCGGTAGAAAGAGTATTTTTTTATTTTGCATAAATTGTGGACGTCTGAAAGAAACACTTACGGTTCCAGAGTTCTAAAGGCGATGTTGTTAACAAAGATAACAATAAAAAACTTGAGCAGAATTTTATTCTTATTTAAAATCATCACCAACTTTATTAAAGCAAATTTAATCCACTGACAAATGTAATTAATAATTAAAAAAAATATGTTGCATTTAATAATTACCGTCTATACCGAATATAATTTTATAGTGAACACTAATTGTATAAAGTTATAGTTTTTAGAGTATAAATAAACCCATGTCCTGTTATGAGTTAAAAAATAAATAGTCAGCTTAGTCTTTTTAGTTTTAAAAATTTTTAGTTTATAGTAAAAAGTAGGTATATTAGTACTTTTTACCGAGTTATAAGTATAGAACACCTTATGTACTCAATTATTTTTTGAAAAAGAAGAAAAAACAAGCAATAAATAATATACTATATTTTAGCAAAAAACTATAACTTAGTAATACTAATTATAACTTAGAACATAAATGAAAAACTCATAACTGACTTTTTGGCCCGACCCAGGATTCGAACCCGGGACCTCATGATCAGCAGTCGCACTACTACAACCACTAGACCAACGAGGCAGTACTATACCTGATAAGATATTGTGGTTGGGTGATAATATTGAATTAGCCTTTTATAGTGTAAATTATAATATTTGTCGAAATTTTAATTATGGATTCGAACCTTACATGCTAATGGTGCTTCATTTTTTTATTTGCATTTACTTCAAAGAAAATACACGCAAAAAGCTTCATCGCGCAGTAAAAAACACAACAAATATGTATAACTAATACGAAAAATTATACCCAAAACAAACAAATAATACTACCTATAAATAACCTAATAAGTAATAATATTATCGACTCATATGACGTGGCGTATGCGTCGGTCGACGCTCTAACGACACGGGCTTCACGTCGAAGAGCTCAGCGCTCACTGACTTCAGCAAGCCCGTGAGCAGTAAATATGCCCAGATTTTAAAATAATTTCTTAATAAAATCAAATTTTGGTCTTTTTAAAAAAAATTTACTATAGAAATGTTTATTAATAAATTGCCTATCCATTGGTGTAAATCGCAAAATAAAATAATACTTACTTTACGAGGAGATGCATGTTATCAATAATAATTTCACATTTATGTGGTTTCGTTGTGAGGAGATTATATTAATATTTATTCCTTTAAAAAAAAATTGGATATAGCTTTTATGGAATCAAGATTATGTAGAAATATAATGTGTTTTTTATTTGTTGATATATCTTTTAAATAAAAAGTAGATAGCTCCTAAAAACCGCCCAAATAACGACTAGCGCGACATTTTGCTCAACCTGCGCCTTAAGCACATCATTATCATGCTCCATAAGCCCAATGAGTGCAAGCGAGATAGACTGATTACAGTGATTTATTGCCCGACGACTGAGTTTATAACATGGACACTATAGTGTGAAAATTATTTTATTATTTTAGTTCTTAGTCGTCCCTTACTTTTTATTAAAACTTAAATTTCTCTTTATTTTTACTTTCTAAGTTTATATACATAGATATCAGCCGGGTCCATATTTATCAGGTTTTTTTATTTAAGTTCGACGTTTTCGAAGTCGCGAGTAATATCTAGTGAATAATAAAAACTTGCCATGTAGTGGTGGCTTAGGGAAACCCACTACCCCCTACTCGTATCATAATATAAGTATTATAAAAGGCGGTAGAGGAAAACTGAAACAGTAGATAGATGGACATCTTCCTGTTCAGAGTGTAAAATAATAAAAAACTGCGGTCGAAAAACTCCTCTGCCAGGCGTTGCACCTATGGCAAATATCCAGCTATAAGTATATCCTTGGAGGAGGCCAATGTTCAGCAGTGTTTTTTATAGGCGTAATGAATTTATAAATGAAATGGCGTATGTGTTGTACTCAGGGTGGACCAGGAGTGCAGGACGCACACTACAGTGTGATGGAGCTGTCGGAGCGACTAGGCTCACTGGGAGCCGGGCCTGCAGCACTCGGGGCCGCCGCCGCCGCTTCCAGAGGTCTACCTTACATTCATATTGTAGTTCTTTTGTATACCAGCCAGGGGTACAAACCTTTCCGCATATAGGCGGCAAGCAGTTTCTTTTTCTTTGCTAGTGAACTTGTACTGTTGTAGTTTTGCTAGTATCAAGTATTTAAGAAATTATCCATTATAATAATTTATTTAAAAGCTTCTTCACTGTATCTTGTATATTGTGGAGTTTTTGAAAGATTTTGGCAGCTTGTCGAATGTCGATGACGATGGTATCTCAACGCGCCTAATAAATTATTTAAAGATTCCACATCACCATCGAAGCATTTGTTTAAACGTTTCCACTAATGGTTCACATATGCTGACACTTAATACACAAAATCGCACCACTTTTTCGTACCAAAATCTACTACAAACCATTATTTTAAAAATAACACAAGAGTAGCAATCCGCCACCAAAACCCTCCAAGCAGAGTTCATTACCTTCTACACATCACAAATTACATGTACCTTGTACATTGTGTACGCAGCCAGGGGTGACAAACCTTTTCGCATATAGGTGCCAAACAGTTTCTCAGAATGCACATTACATGTACCTTACACATTATACACAGTTTAGAGTGACAAACCTTTTCACAATAAGGTGTCAACCACAACCACTGATCACCAAGGTATTTACTTTGTGTATGGTATGAATAGAACTGTCAACTGAAAATTTGCTAGACGCTGCCAAATGTTTTTAATGGTAAAGAGGAGGTCTGCCACCGGCGGAAGGGGCCTGAGGCATAGCCAACGCTCCCTTTAATAACTTTTTAAAGAAGTAAGGGTTAAATGACGAGCGCGCACAGTCCAGTCGAGTAAGTGTGACGATGTGATCTATAGACACTTCGAATGAGAATCAAAATGCATTGAAACATTGAGGTCTAAGGTGGAATATTTAGTTACCAACATAACGAGTCTTGGTTCTTATCATTCACCATTTAAAACGCAGCAGTACTATGCTACTGTTTTTCTTTTCAGAATAGAACAAGTTTTTGTCTTAAAGCTTTCTCAGAAGTGAGATGAGAACTGTGTTGAGCCATGGAATTTATATAGGCTGTGATTACACCACTACTTATTTGAAATTAAACACTACATAAATTTTTCGTCATATTTTATTTGTGAAAAGTCACATTGTTTTTGTACATATTTGTCATAAAAATTGTAAATTAAAACTATTTCCACTTGTGGCGCCAACTGTTGTTCATCGTAGAAACTAAATTTAGTCGTCTAAACAGGCTGTAATTTTACATTATCCCTCGCTTATGTATGAGTATGGCCCGTCTCCGTCGAAGCGAGCCACTCGTACTGCAGCCATGTGTCTGCGACGTGTGCGTGCGTGTTGCAGGGATGTGGGAGGAGGCGGAGCAGCTGCTGACGGAGGCACAGGCGCGCGCGCCGCAGCAGCCCGAGCTGCTGCTGGCGCTCGCCGTCACCGCGGCGCACAGCGGCAAGCCGCCCGAGGTACGTGTGTGTGTGTTAGTGTGTGAGTGTGCAGCCCGAGCTACTGCTGGCGCTCGCCGTCACCGCGGCGCACAGCGGCAAGCCGCCCGAGGTACGTGTGTGTGTGTTAGTGTGTGAGTGTGCAGCCCGAGCTGCTGCTGGCGCTCGCCGTCACCGCGGCGCACAGCGGCAAGCCGCCCGAGGTACGTGTGTGTGTGTTAGTGTGTGAGTGTGCAGCCCGAGCTGCTGCTGGCGCTCGCCGTCACCGCGGCGCACAGCGGCAAGCCGCCCGAGGTACGTGTGTGTGTGTTAGTGTGTGAGTGTGCAGCCCGAGCTGCTGCTGGCGCTCGCCGTCACCGCGGCGCACAGCGGCAAGCCGCCCGAGGTACGTGTGTGTGTGTTAGTGTGTGAGTGTGCAGCCCGAGCTACTGCTGGCGCTCGCCGTCACCGCGGCGCACAGCGGCAAGCCGCCCGAGGTACGTGTGTGTGTGTTAGTGTGTGAGTGTGCAGCCCGAGCTACTGCTGGCGCTCGCCGTCACCGCGGCGCACAGCGGCAAGCCGCCCGAGGTACGTGTGTGTGTGTTAGTGTGTGAGTGTGCAGCCCGAGCTGCTGCTGGCGCTCGCCGTCACCGCGGCGCACAGCGGCAAGCCGCCCGAGGTACGTGTGTGTGTGTTAGTGTGTGAGTGTGCAGCCCGAGCTGCTGCTGGCGCTCGCCGTCACCGCGGCGCACAGCGGCAAGCCGCCCGAGGTACGTGTGTGTGTGTTAGTGTGTGAGTGTGCAGCCCGAGCTACTGCTGGCGCTCGCCGTCACCGCGGCGCACAGCGGCAAGCCGCCCGAGGTACGTGTGTGTGTGTTAGTGTGTGAGTGTGCAGCCCGAGCTACTGCTGGCGCTCGCCGTCACCGCGGCGCACAGCGGCAAGCCGCCCGAGGTACGTGTGTGTGTGTTAGTGTGTGAGTGTGCAGCCCGAGCTGCTGCTGGCGCTCGCCGTCACCGCGGCGCACAGCGGCAAGCCGCCCGAGGTACGTGTGTGTGTGTTAGTGTGTGAGTGTGCAGCCCGAGCTACTGCTGGCGCTCGCCGTCACCGCGGCGCACAGCGGCAAGCCGCCCGAGGTACGTGTGTGTGTGTTAGTGTGTGAGTGTGCAGCCCGAGCTGCTGCTGGCGCTCGCCGTCACCGCGGCGCACAGCGGCAAGCCGCCCGAGGTACGTGTGTGTGTGTTAGTGTGTGAGTGTGCAGCCCGAGCTGCTGCTGGCGCTCGCCGTCACCGCGGCGCACAGCGGCAAGCCGCCCGAGGTACGTGTGTGTGTGTTAGTGTGTGAGTGTGCAGCCCGAGCTACTGCTGGCGCTCGCCGTCACCGCGGCGCACAGCGGCAAGCCGCCCGAGGTACGTGTGTGTGTGTTAGTGTGTGAGTGTGCAGCCCGAGCTACTGCTGGCGCTCGCCGTCACCGCGGCGCACAGCGGCAAGCCGCCCGAGGTACGTGTGTGTGTGTTAGTGTGTGAGTGTGCAGCCCGAGCTACTGCTGGCGCTCGCCGTCACCGCGGCGCACAGCGGCAAGCCGCCCGAGGTACGTGTGTGTGTGTTAGTGTGTGAGTGTGCAGCCCGAGCTACTGCTGGCGCTCGCCGTCACCGCGGCGCACAGCGGCAAGCCGCCCGAGGTACGTGTGTGTGTGTTAGTGTGTGAGTGTGCAGCCCGAGCTGCTGCTGGCGCTCGCCGTCACCGCGGCGCACAGCGGCAAGCCGCCCGAGGTACGTGTGTGTGTGTTAGTGTGTGAGTGTGCAGCCCGAGCTGCTGCTGGCGCTCGCCGTCACCGCGGCGCACAGCGGCAAGCCGCCCGAGGTACGTGTGTGTGTGTTAGTGTGTGAGTGTGCAGCCCGAGCTGCTGCTGGCGCTCGCCGTCACCGCGGCGCACAGCGGCAAGCCGCCCGAGGTACGTGTGTGTGTGCGCGTGTGTGTGTTAGTGTGTGAGTGTGCAGCCCGAGCTGCTGCTGGCGCTCGCCGTCACCGCGGCGCACAGCGGCAAGCCGCCCGAGGTACGTGTGTGTGTGTTAGTGTGTGAGTGTGCAGCCCGAGCTACTGCTGGCGCTCGCCGTCACCGCGGCGCACAGCGGCAAGCCGCCCGAGGTACGTGTGTGTGTGTTAGTGTGTGAGTGTGCAGCCCGAGCTACTGCTGGCGCTCGCCGTCACCGCGGCGCACAGCGGCAAGCCGCCCGAGGTACGTGTGTGTGTGTTAGTGTGTGAGTGTGCAGCCCGAGCTGCTGCTGGCGCTCGCCGTCACCGCGGCGCACAGCGGCAAGCCGCCCGAGGTACGTGTGTGTGTGTTAGTGTGTGAGTGTGCAGCCCGAGCTACTGCTGGCGCTCGCCGTCACCGCGGCGCACAGCGGCAAGCCGCCCGAGGTACGTGTGTGTGTGTTAGTGTGTGAGTGTGCAGCCCGAGCTGCTGCTGGCGCTCGCCGTCACCGCGGCGCACAGCGGCAAGCCGCCCGAGGTACGTGTGTGTGTGTTAGTGTGTGAGTGTGCAGCCCGAGCTGCTGCTGGCGCTCGCCGTCACCGCGGCGCACAGCGGCAAGCCGCCCGAGGTACGTGTGTGTGTGTTAGTGTGTGAGTGTGCAGCCCGAGCTACTGCTGGCGCTCGCCGTCACCGCGGCGCACAGCGGCAAGCCGCCCGAGGTACGTGTGTGTGTGTTAGTGTGTGAGTGTGCAGCCCGAGCTACTGCTGGCGCTCGCCGTCACCGCGGCGCACAGCGGCAAGCCGCCCGAGGTACGTGTGTGTGTGTTAGTGTGTGAGTGTGCAGCCCGAGCTACTGCTGGCGCTCGCCGTCACCGCGGCGCACAGCGGCAAGCCGCCCGAGGTACGTGTGTGTGTGTTAGTGTGTGAGTGTGCAGCCCGAGCTACTGCTGGCGCTCGCCGTCACCGCGGCGCACAGCGGCAAGCCGCCCGAGGTACGTGTGTGTGTGTTAGTGTGTGAGTGTGCAGCCCGAGCTGCTGCTGGCGCTCGCCGTCACCGCGGCGCACAGCGGCAAGCCGCCCGAGGTACGTGTGTGTGTGTTAGTGTGTGAGTGTGCAGCCCGAGCTGCTGCTGGCGCTCGCCGTCACCGCGGCGCACAGCGGCAAGCCGCCCGAGGTACGTGTGTGTGTGTTAGTGTGTGAGTGTGCAGCCCGAGCTGCTGCTGGCGCTCGCCGTCACCGCGGCGCACAGCGGCAAGCCGCCCGAGGTACGTGTGTGTGTGCGCGTGTGTGTGTTAGTGTGTGAGTGTGCAGCCCGAGCTGCTGCTGGCGCTCGCCGTCACCGCGGCGCACAGCGGCAAGCCGCCCGAGGTACGTGTGTGTGTGTTAGTGTGTGAGTGTGCAGCCCGAGCTGCTGCTGGCGCTCGCCGTCACCGCGGCGCACAGCGGCAAGCCGCCCGAGGTACGTGTGTGTGTGTTAGTGTGTGAGTGTGCAGCCCGAGCTGCTGCTGGCGCTCGCTGTCACCGCGGCGCACAGCGGCAAGCCGCCCGAGGTACGTGTGTGTGTGTTAGTGTGTGAGTGTGCAGCCCGAGCTGCTGCTGGCGCTCGCCGTCACCGCGGCGCACAGCGGCAAGCCGCCCGAGGTACGTGTGTGTGTGTTAGTGTGTGAGTGTGCAGCCCGAGCTGCTGCTGGCGCTCGCCGTCACCGCGGCGCACAGCGGCAAGCCGCCCGAGGTACGTGTGTGTGTGTTAGTGTGTGAGTGTGCAGCCCGAGCTGCTGCTGGCGCTCGCCGTCACCGCGGCGCACAGCGGCAAGCCGCCCGAGGTACGTGTGTGTGTGTTAGTGTGTGAGTGTGCAGCCCGAGCTGCTGCTGGCACTCACCGTCACCGCGGCGCACAGCGGCAAGCCGCCCGAGGTACGTGTGTGTGTGTTAGTGTGTGAGTGTGCAGCCCGAGCTGCTGCTGGCGCTCGCCGTCACCGCAGCGCACAGCGGCAAGCCGCCCGAGGTACGTGTGTGTGTGTTAGTGTGTGAGTGTGCAGCCCGAGCTGCTGCTGGCGCTCGCCGTCACCGCGGCGCACAGCGGCAAGCCGCCCGAGGTACGTGTGTGTGTGTTAGTGTGTGAGTGTGCAGCCCGAGCTGCTGCTGGCGCTCGCCGTCACCGCGGCGCACAGCGGCAAGCCGCCCGAGGTACGTGTGTGTGTGTTAGTGTGTGAGTGTGCAGCCCGAGCTGCTGCTGGCGCTCGCCGTCACCGCGGCGCACAGCGGCAAGCCGCCCGAGGTACGTGTGTGTGTGTTAGTGTGTGAGTGTGCAGCCCGAGCTGCTGCTGGCGCTCGCCGTCACCGCGGCGCACAGCGGCAAGCCGCCCGAGGTACGTGTGTGTGTGTTAGTGTGTGAGTGTGCAGCCCGAGCTGCTGCTGGCGCTCGCCGTCACCGCAGCGCACAGCGGCAAGCCGCCCGAGGTACGTGTGTGTGTGTTAGTGTGTGAGTGTGCAGCCCGAGCTGCTGCTGGCGCTCGCCGTCACCGCGGCGCACAGCGGCAAGCCGCCCGAGGTACGTGTGTGTGTGTTAGTGTGTGAGTGTGCAGCCCGAGCTGCTGCTGGCGCTCGCCGTCACCGCGGCGCACAGCGGCAAGCCGCCCGAGGTACGTGTGTGTGTGTTAGTGTGTGAGTGTGCAGCCCGAGCTGCTGCTGGCGCTCGCCGTCACCGCGGCGCACAGCGGCAAGCCGCCCGAGGTACGTGTGTGTGTGCGCGTGTGTGTGTTAGTGTGTGAGTGTGCAGCCCGAGCTGCTGCTGGCGCTCGCCGTCACCGCGGCGCACAGCGGCAAGCCGCCCGAGGTACGTGTGTGTGTGTTAGTGTGTGAGTGTGCAGCCCGAGCTGCTGCTGGCGCTCGCCGTCACCGCGGCGCACAGCGGCAAGCCGCCCGAGGTACGTGTGTGTGTGTTAGTGTGTGAGTGTGCAGCCCGAGCTGCTGCTGGCGCTCGCCGTCACCGCAGCGCACAGCGGCAAGCCGCCCGAGGTACGTGTGTGTGTGTTAGTGTGTGAGTGTGCAGCCCGAGCTGCTGCTGGCGCTCGCCGTCACCGCGGCGCACAGCGGCAAGCCGCCCGAGGTACGTGTGTGTGTGTTAGTGTGTGAGTGTGCAGCCCGAGCTGCTGCTGGCGCTCGCCGTCACCGCGGCGCACAGCGGCAAGCCGCCCGAGGTACGTGTGTGTGTGTTAGTGTGTGAGTGTGCAGCCCGAGCTGCTGCTGGCGCTCGCCGTCACCGCGGCGCACAGCGGCAAGCCGCCCGAGGTACGTGTGTGTGTGTTAGTGTGTGAGTGTGCAGCCCGAGCTGCTGCTGGCGCTCGCCGTCACCGCGGCGCACAGCGGCAAGCCGCCCGAGGTACGTGTGTGTGTGTTAGTGTGTGAGTGTGCAGCCCGAGCTGCTGCTGGCGCTCGCCGTCACCGCAGCGCACAGCGGCAAGCCGCCCGAGGTACGTGTGTGTGTGTTAGTGTGTGAGTGTGCAGCCCGAGCTGCTGCTGGCGCTCGCCGTCACCGCGGCGCACAGCGGCAAGCCGCCCGAGGTACGTGTGTGTGTGTTAGTGTGTGAGTGTGCAGCCCGAGCTGCTGCTGGCGCTCGCCGTCACCGCGGCGCACAGCGGCAAGCCGCCCGAGGTACGTGTGTGTGTGTTAGTGTGTGAGTGTGCAGCCCGAGCTGCTGCTGGCGCTCGCCGTCACCGCGGCGCACAGCGGCAAGCCGCCCGAGGTACGTGTGTGTGTGTTAGTGTGTGAGTGTGCAGCCCGAGCTGCTGCTGGCGCTCGCCGTCACCGCGGCGCACAGCGGCAAGCCGCCCGAGGTACGTGTGTGTGTGTTAGTGTGTGAGTGTGCAGCCCGAGCTGCTGCTGGCGCTCGCCGTCACCGCGGCGCACAGCGGCAAGCCGCCCGAGGTACGTGTGTGTGTGTTAGTGTGTGAGTGTGCAGCCCGAGCTGCTGCTGGCGCTCGCCGTCACCGCGGCGCACAGCGGCAAGCCGCCCGAGGTACGTGTGTGTGTGTTAGTGTGTGAGTGTGCAGCCCGAGCTGCTGCTGGCGCTCGCCGTCACCGCGGCGCACAGCGGCAAGCCGCCCGAGGTACGTGTGTGTGTGTTAGTGTGTGAGTGTGCAGCCCGAGCTGCTGCTGGCGCTCGCCGTCACCGCGGCGCACAGCGGCAAGCCGCCCGAGGTACGTGTGTGTGTGTTAGTGTGTGAGTGTGCAGCCCGAGCTGCTGCTGGCGCTCGCCGTCACCGCGGCGCACAGCGGCAAGCCGCCCGAGGTACGTGTGTGTGTGCGCGTGTGTGTGTTAGTGTGTGAGTGTGCAGCCCGAGTTGCTCCTGGCGCTCGCCGTCACCGCGGCGCACAGCGGCAAGCCGCAGGTAGTATATGTATGTGTGTTCCTGCGTGTGCGTGTGTGTAGCGCAGGGATGTGCGAAAAGAGCCACTAGAGGACCTCTTTATGGAGGATGCGCCTTAATCGTCAGTGTGCGATTTTATAACTCTGGTAGAATTATCTGCACATGGTAATCACTCCGCGTTGTGGGTATTCATTATCATATCATATTGTAACATAAAATAACTTCAGTTTTACAATCAATGTCTTTGAAACTCTCGTCCCGATCATTCAAGTATTGATTCGTCGTACGAACCGGGTTATTCGAGTCGTTCATTCAAATGGATCATTTCGAGTTTCAGTACTCTGTGATCTGTGCGACCCGTTCGATAATGTCGGACATTACTATACTCTGATCTGCAACGTTCCAAAAGTGTAATTGCAATCATCAATACTTTAATACGACGGGTTAACACCTTGTACTATGCTAGCTACCAACGAGGCTCTGGCGGCTTACTATACTTATATACTCGTAATATACTACGTACTAGGGAAGCCATTCCGAACATTGAGTATGTTCAACTGAACTGTAGTACAATCCATACAAACTAAATATTGCGTAAATTGAAGATTTGTGAATTCCATAAAATAATTATTATTACATTTTATTTAGAAATATAATATGTTTGTTTAGATTAAATTAAGATATTTTATATTAAATTCTTATATTTATTTTATATTAATATCTTATTTTATATCAAATTAAAGTCTTCGCGCATGCGCGACTACTACTCCCGCGCATGCGCGAAGACATAGAGTAGGACACAATTTTTGTTTGGAATGGCTTCTGTAGTACGTAGTACATATAGCTCAATGCTTACAAATAATATCAATTCAATCAAAAATGGTGAAACTATGAGTAAAGCATGATGAGTTTGTTTGTGGGTTTAAGTAACCCAAAATAAATAAATATTGTCTATTATTTTGTATTTTATTTTCCAGATTTCATCGCGTTATCTAGCTCAGTTGCTGGATACTCACCCGGATCATCCCTTCACTAAGGAGTACAACGCAAAGACCAACGAATTCAAGCGACTTGCGGCTCAGTATCAGCCGTCCGTTGCAAGTTAAATTGAGTTTTAAAGTTATTGTAATAAATGTTTATTTTTAAAGTAAAAAGTGGTATGTTAAAAAGGAGAGCAAGCGAGTATTAAATATATAATTCCATTGAGAAATTGCTCTTGTATTATTTCTTAGTTAAAATTATATTATGTACTAGCTTTTTACCCGCGGCTTCGCTCGCGTTGGCTTAAATTTAGAAATATCAATAAAACTACTTCAATTAAAGTTACAATTTCATAAATGTAGTTCTATTCACGATGAACGTGTGACAGGGACTATATTCATGAACGGGAGTAGAAATATAGAGAAGATGGGCACAGCGTCTTTCTGATTACAACTCAAAATAATAAAAAGATGCAGTTGGCAACCCGCCTGCCAAGAGTGGCAACAACGGATAATATCCAACTTATTTCGTAATCTATGGCGGGAATCGATATGATGAACGGGAGTAGAAATATATTAGCAATGTAAAGGCGGCGAAACGGAAACCAATACCTCATTTCATCTCGTGGGTGTCGTAAGAGGCGACAGCAAATTTAATTAAACGCCACCATTTCGTGCTATAATTAACTACTTTATGATATTATTGATTCTAAGATCTGGCTAATAAATATATAAAAATGTCTTTATTTAAACTATATGGATAGTGAGAGTTTTGCAATAATTACAGTGTTATCACTTTATTTATAGATAATCAAAACTTTTTATAGATTAGAAATTAAACTTAGAAACATCTTACATTTTATGAATTTCGATAGATGTCACTATCATCTACTATTTAAGTAGTAATATGTTACTATAAACTTTATTAATTCCTACTAAAATGAAATTAGGAAAGAACTGAAAAATGAACGTTAGAATTTTCAAATAATTATGAATTAAATTATTGGACATATAAATGTAAGTTATAATAATAATTTATTTAAAAAAAAAAGTCCCGCTGGGTTTCTTGCTGGTTCTTCCCAGGACAGAGGGTTTTTTTCGAACCAGTGGTAAAGTAAAAAATGACTCAATAAGAATTACACATGTACAAAAAATTATCCCATTCTATTCTATTCTATTATATATTTTATTTTATTCATTAGTAACTGGAGGTAAAATGTTACTACTTTTGGGATTTCCCCTTAGATGGCACTGTTTTGATAAAATGAAATTTAGATTGTCGGCGTCGTTAAAGTTACAACGCAACGGTTAAAACTCATTTTAGGCTTTATTTATAAATATATTATTTATTTTTTTAAAAAAAAAAACATCAATAATATAAAATAGAAATTAACATCTTGAGGAAGGAAAATACTTAACCCTCTTTTTTTTGATGATTCGTAATCGGATAAAAAGTGAAAAAAGTAGTATAAGCCTATGTTGCCCCGGGTCCCTTACTATCAACACACAAAATTTCATGGAAATCGGTCCAGTAGTTTTTGCGTTAAACGGTAATATACAGACAGACATACAGACAGACAAAAATTCTAAAAACCACTAATTTGGTCTCAGTGCCCTTTATTTCATCATCATTACAGCCTTTCATAAGTCCACTGCTGAACATAGGCCGTGCTTTGTGGCATTCCTTGGGGGAGCCCAAGGAATGCCACAAAGCACGGCCACCTGCATCCATCGACTTCCTGCATGTCTTACCAGGTCGTCACTCCATCTCGTGGGGGGTCGCCCTACACTTCGCCTACCGGTACGAGCCTGCCACTCAAGAACCTTTCTTCCCCATCGGTTGTCGGTTCTTCGAGCTATATGGCCGGCTCACTGCCACTTCAGCTTACTAATCCGTTGGGCTATGTCGGTCACTCTGGTTCTACTGCGGATATCCTCATTTCTGAGTTTATCACGCAGAGAAACTCCGAGCATAGCCCTCTCCATAGCTCGCTGAGCGACCTTGAGCTTCCTCATCCGACCAGCAGTGAAGGACCACGTCTCAGTTCCGTATGTCATCACTGGCAACACGCACTGGGTGTACAGTCTCGTTTTCAAGTTTTGAGGTATACCTGACGAGAAGATGTGTCGTGATTTCCCGAACGCTGCCCAACCGAGTTGAATCCGTCGATTGACCTCTCGGTCGAAGTTGGACTTACCTAGTCGGACTATTTGTCCCAGGTAAACACACTCGTCAACAACTTCGAGCTTAGTGTTCCCAACAACTACCGGCATAGGTGTGACATGGACATTAAACATGATCTTTGTTTTGTCCATGTTCATCTTAAGACCTATCCGTTGGGAAACACTATTGAGGTCATTGAGCATAGTGCTTAGGTCCTCCAGCGATTCTGCCATAAGGACAATATCGTCGGCAAATCGAAGGTGAGTGATGTACTCGCCATTGATGTTGATACCGTATCCTTTCTAGTCCAGAAGCTTGAAAACATCTTCCAATGCTGCGGTAAAGAGTTTCGGGGATATGACGTCACCCTGTCTTACACCTCTCTGCAATTGAATAGGTTTCGTACTCAGGTTCTGTACTCGGATAGCCATCGTAGCCCTACTGTACAAGCACTTCAACACTTCGATATACCGACAGTCAACTTGGCATCGCTGAAGGGACTGCAGCACCGCCCAAATTTCGACGGAATCAAAGGCTTTCTCATAGTCCACATACGCCAGACATAGTGGCAAATTGTACTCGTCGGACTTCTGTACAATTTGCCGAAGGGTATGTATGTGGTCTATGGTGCGAAAGCCTTTTCGGAAACCGGCTTGTTCGGGAGGCTGGAAGTTGTCAAGTCTGCGCGCGAGACGATTCGTAATGACTCTCGAAAACAGCACGTAGACGCGGCTCAGAAGGGAAATCGGTCTGTAGTTCTTCAAGAGAGCGTTGTCGCCTTTCTTGAAGAACAAGACCACCGCACTTCTGCTCCACGCCTCCGGTGTAATGCCACCATGGAGGACGGAATTAAAGAGCTTCTAAAGGACTTCAAGTACTGGTTTTCCACCCGCTTTCAAAAGCTCCGCTGTAATTCCATCCTCGCCTGGGGCCTTGCCGTTTTTAAGGTGCTGGAGAGCCATTCTAATCTCGCTCAGACTGACGTCCGGGATATCATCGGAATAATGTCGGATAAGACTCGCTCTTGGATCGTTACTCACACTTGCGTGCGGCTCCAACGATGACGTGTACAGCTGCCCATAGAACCTCTCAATCTCACTCAAAATCTCAGTTGCCCCGGAGACGATGCTGCCACATTCGGTCATCAGCTTTGACAGTTGGCTCTTTCTAGTAGACAGATCTCTGGCAAAGACTTTGGAGCCTTGGTTCCGCTCGATCGCTTCTTCAATACGAGCTGTATTGAAGTTGCGTACGTCCCGCGGCATGCATTTGGAGATCTGTCTGTTCAGTTGCCTATATGCTGTCAAATCTGTTGAAGAATGTAGCTTCATCTCCCGTCTAACAGCCATGAGATTAAGAGTGTGATCGGAGAGTTTTTGTGTTCTTCTGCGGCGGGTCTTGCAGAACTTAGCTCCGACCGCATAGACAGTTTCCACGAGCTTGTCATTCAAATCGTCCACTTCATTGCAGTCTTCTAGGCACTGAAAACGGTTTTGTAACACGAGCTGAAAGGTTTCGGGACATTGGATTAGAGCACGAGGGGGACGGAGCGTTGACTTCATTAGACGAGACCTCTCCAACTTAACGTTTAGGTTCAGGCACACTGAACCATTCGGTGATCGCTGCCGTTTTTCACCCTCGCGATCACTGAGACATCACTGAACAGTTGTCGTCTGGTCGTCATAATGAAGTCAATCTCATTTTTTGTCGAACCGTCGGGGCTCGACCAGGTCCACTTCCTGTGGGGCCGCTTCTGGAAGAAAGAGTTCATCATAAAGAGTCCCTCTTTCTCCTTGAAGTCGGCCAGCAGCTGGCCCCTTGGGTTCCCTTGCCCTATTCCAAATTTCCCTACTTTCAGCTCACCGTTCTCTCTTGTGCCTAGTTTTGCATTGAAGTCTCCCATTAACACCGTATATTGGGTTTTGGAGGAATGCATGGCTCTAGAGATATCCTCATACATTTCCTCCACCTCCTGATCGGGGTGTGCCGAGGTTGGTGCGTAAACCTGTATGACCTTCAGCGAATACCGTTTGGTGATTCTGAGTATAAGGTACGCAACCCTCGTTGACACACTCTCAATCTTTACAACGTTGTTAACGAGAGACTTGCGGACGATAAATCCGACACCTCCTTGGGACAGATGGTCGCTCTCCCAGTAATAGAGCAAGTTGCCGGATTCGAGGATTACCGTGTCCTCCCCCTCTCTTCGGACTTCGGATAATCTTATAATATGCCAGCGTAACTTGTCTATCTCTTCTTCCAGCTCCACAATCTTCTCGTCAGTCCTGAGGGTGCGTGCGTTGTATGCTGCCAGGTCGAGTCGTCTAAGGTGACAACCGAATCTCCACCGGAGATTCTTAGCACCCCCTGCCCCGCCGTTACCATGGTTGCTACCGTAGTCAGGAATAGCGGGGCCGCCGGGGACTCGGGGCCGTCTCTTTGATACATTCATAGGGGGGTTTTTGCCATAGTTGCCACCCTTGGCGAGCGGGTTGGCAACCGCAGTTTTTATTGTATTTTTGGTGTTATCAGGAAGATACTGCTGCCCATCTCTTGCCTGTTTCCCTTTGTCGCCTTTTACGACACCCACGGGAAGATATGGGGTAGTGGATATTCTTAACTGCCACTACACGGCTCTTTATTTAGTCCCCTGGAATTGTTTTTTCCAGAAAATATTAGAATTACAGACACGACTTTTCTACAGATTTATTATATGTATGGATTATGTGTTTTGTATTCTTTACGTGTTGTAAATAATCAGTGTTGCAGACATTACATTCGCATATACATACATAGTTTCTCTCTGTAAATGTGATCCATTCCTTGTTATCAGAAGTGAAAATGTTAATTATTTGTCCATTAAAGCCTATTAAGAATCCACTGCTAAACATGGGCTTCCCTCATAGATTGCCTTATAAGGGGTATATTTGCCATAGTTGCCACGCTTAGCAGGCGGCTTTACAACCGCAGTTCTTATAAGCAATTTAAAACTAAAATAGGTTTAGCCAATTACTAACATAGTTATGGACTGTATGTGGGTCTGAAATAAATTGTTATTATTATTATTATGGGGTATTTGTATAGTTTTCTCATCTGGTTGGGCTGTATAAATATATAATTGTAAATGAAAATGATAAACTTACATAAATATCAATAAAATAAAATAAATACATAAAAATTACATAAATATATAAAAACCCAACCAGATGGAAGCCCTCGGCAGGGGAGACCAAACGGCCGAGGGTTAGGGGGAAAGGGAAAGAAACCGGCGGACGATGCGGGCGGTATCGAGGAGCACCGCCTTCTGCATTTGAGCTTGGAGCGATCCGTCACGGAGTCCCAGTCGCCTTAGATGACCCGAGAGGCTGACTGGGATTAACCCGTTCGCAGAGACGACCACAGGAATAATTATTATTATTATTATTATACAGTGATAAAGTTCGTAAAGTACTTGTGATCCTTACCGCGATCCTCAAGCGATCGTAATAAGAAATAAATACTAGATGACTACTGCCATCTATTGGGGGATATAAAGACTCCAGCAGGACTAGCATGGGCAGGAGACAATTTTATCCCAGGGTAAAAGAGAAAATGTTTATCCCTCGCTTAGTTTTATCCACCCTTCGAGTATGCATGGGCACACCGCACCGGTGGATATAATATCCACAGTAGATAAAATGGGAGATAGACTTAGATAGATTTTAGTATGAATATAAACTTAAACCCATAATAAAATTGCCCCTTTCAAATGTCAAAAAAGCATATTTTTTATCTTCCATTTGGCTCAATGCTACGGACGGGGGATATATTGTCTACTCGTTATGTCAAACGGAGATATACTTCTCCTTTCCCCCGTTGCCGTGCTTTGGCATAAGGACAAGATAATTTTATCTCTTGTCAGTGGATATAATCGGAGGATAAATTTTTTGTCCCCAGCCCATGCTAGGCGTGCAGAAATATTTTTAGTCGTTTAATATAAATTCGCATGTCACAGATAAATAGAGACAGCGTATGTTTACTTACGGCACTACTAGGCCGGTCGCACATTGTGAGAAATGTTCTATCAGATAATTTCTAACGCGTTAGGCGACAATCTGCTCACCTCGTACACTATCAGAAATTTTCTATATACCTATCACCAATATTCCATGGGCATGTATATTTTGTTAATTCTATCGTTTTCACTAATATCACCCCTCTCAATACGAGCCTATCATACGGGCCTACGTTCTTGGACGCGTCTGGTACAAAATATATGGAAGGCGTGGCGTTCCGATATGACAAGACAAATTTCTGATGTGCAGTTAGTTATGTATCCGGCAAGCGTTAGAAGCGGACGGTTGCGGGCGGCGTGCGCGTGGGCGTGGCGCACTGCACGCCGCTGCGAGGCGACGTGCGCGTGGACGTGCACTGCAAGCCCAAGATGATGCGGCGCGACAAGCTCTTCCACTTCTGGTTCAACACCTTTGGTCCGGCAAATTTTTTACAGTCTGCGGGATCTAGTGAAAAATGTATGCGCAGAGTGCTTTGCAGTAGAACTTTCGACAGAAAATTTCTTATTATGTGCGGCCAGTATATATACGGAACCCGGTTGCCGGACCTACCGTCCGCTTTTAACGATCGTCGAATGCATGCCAACCGGACATCAGTTTGTCTTGTCAGAATCTCCGAATAGGCGCTCTTCATGCATTTTGTCGAAGACAGTTCAATTATTCAAAAGTGCAAAATTATTTATGCCTATAATATTGGTGATAAATATGATTATTGTTAAGTTTCTGACAGTGTGTCTCGTGTGCAGATGATAGTATAGCGCGCGTTTGGAAAAAATGCTTACAATGTGCCAGCCCTTATCCAACAATGAGGGCTAATAATTTTCTGTTCACCAGGTGTCGCTAGTTGACATTGAGGTAAAGAATTTTGTAACACAATGTCATTTAATTGAGAAGTTAGTTTTTAATAGTTTTATCAGTTTGTAGAAAGAAGTTTGTAGTGTTAATACATAAAACAATTTGTCAGTGGTATGCTCTTTAATTTTTTGCACATTTTAACTTTTTTTTTAAATTTTTCTTCTTTTATGAATATCTTTGGTTTGGTTGATTTATTTTTAATGTTATTAATATAAAATATAACTAATAGTACAGAAAGAAACGTTAACATTTACATTTTCCGAACAAATTAAATTCCCCGCTATGAAATCTGTCAAATATTATTCCTCACTTTCTAGTGGCGCCGCCCTGGTGGCAGAAAAAGTCGTGGATGCCCTCATTAATAGCTTCCTATAGTAATCGCAAGATGTCGCTGTTGACACTAAATTAGCTAGAAAACAAAAAAAAAACACATTTTTTCCTTTTGTACTTTATTCCTAATAAAAGCTATAATCGTAATCCGTGTCCAACTCCTCGTCGCCGGGGCTCGTGGTGTTGGCCAGCAAGTGGAACTGGCGCAGCTTCTCGTCCATGTCGGCCAGATTCAGTACGGGGTCGGGGGGCTCGCGGTCGCCCTTCACCCGCGCCCAATCTGTGGTAGTTTCTGATTTGTGGGTGATTTCGCCATTCAAACCTACGCCGTAAAAATAAGAACAATAATTTACTACGTTCTTTTTAAATAGGACAGGGTGAACACAGTCCACCTGATGGTAAGTGGTTGCTGTGACCCATAGACATCTACATTTATCCTCAATTAATAATCAAAATGCAGATCCGTCGTCACCCATGAGGACTAAGATGGAGTGAATGAATTTTACGTTTCCAGTAAAATGGGTCTCCGGTTCTCTACACTCACCATACGAAACACAATTACGCTGCTATTTTACCCTGGTATTCTGTGAGAGCGTGGTCCTGCCCCGGTCGAGCCGCCCCATTCGTGCTATAACTATACTACTAATACTAATATAGCTGCAGCACGGCTCTATCACGTATAACGTACAACGTACGGTTAGTCTTATTTCTGGGCAAAGGCCTGATGTTAATTTCGAGTGTTATTAAGCCGTAAAAAAACCTGTCACGATAACGACTTTGAAAAGTTTCTTATGGCCAAATACTCAAACGCCACTCAGACACGACATAGAGACCTTCAAGAAAAGAAGCCTACTCCTTTTTATAAGGCCGGCAACGCATCTGCAATTCCCCTGGTGTTGCGATTGTTCATGGGCGGCGGTAGTCACTTACCATCGGGTGAGCCGCATGCTCGTTTGCCCCCTCTCCTATAAAAAAAAAAGGTTTAAGATGTCTTTAAGGCTCGTAGTGTCACAGTCATTTTGATTTAAAGTGACAGAGACAGCAATAGACTTACGGCATCTTAAAATTAAATAGTATTATATAGATTATATCACCACTGAGTACGTGGTAACAGTCTACCGTAACCTAAATTATAATATTATGATCTAAGATTTACTGCCTCGTTGCGTTCGGATCTCCGGTTGGGCCAAAAGCAGTTATTGAGTATTTGACTTTCAACAAGTATTATTTTAATCTTTATATTAAAATAAAGTTATTCTATTCTTTTTTTATAGAATAAGGATGACAAACGACCACACAGTCCACCTGATAGTAAATGAATTCTGTGACCCATAGACATCTACATTTGTCCTCAATTAAGAATCAAAAGTTGTCACCCATGAGTTCTAAGATGAAATGTCTCGTTTCCAGTAAAAAGTGTCTCAGGTTTTCTACACTCACCATACGAAACAGAGCAACATTTAGCTGCTATTTATATTACCCCTGTCGAGCCGACACATTCCTGCTACAACCATAGCTGCAGCGTGGCTGTACGACGTATGAGGAGCAGGTTAAGTAATAACAGCAGTTAACCATTAGGATATATCTCGACGCGTCCGTCGTGTTCGTGTATTGGCGGCGCGGTGTACGCCTCCAACTCCTCGGCGTGGCTCTCTCGTTCTAACTTCTCTTGTTTGCGTTGTCTGCGCCACGCCTTCTGCAGGTTGAAGCGCTCGGGACTAGAAAACGCAAGAACAACTGGATCCATTTAGATGGACAATATATTATTCACCTATTACAGGCCATAAGTGAAGATACAGTCGAAGATGTTTAAGAGGATATCCGGGTTGCAAGGGAATTGAAGAATAACTGTTAAACGATCTATTGCTGTTGTGGTGCGCCTGAACGACCAAGCTAAAACCCAAAAGAGAACCAAAGACAACTACAGTTACATATCATTTATGAAAAAGTGACGAAATCATGTCCTGTTTTCCCCTATTACCTCCTCGAAAATTGAATGGATTTCATTTCTTTATCAACAATATTAAAAAAATGTGGTTATATCTGTTATTTTTCTTTAATGTTATATGTTCGTGGATGTATATTTCAAGAAAATTGTTCAGCCGTTTGAAGATCATCGACTCTTTTTGTTTCGGGGCTTTTTTAATTTTTAATTTAAGTTATAATTAAAAAAAAAACTTCCCGAATTCTCTCAAACCTCATCGCTTTGAGAAAATCGCAAGTATCTCAACCCCTTAAAAACTGAAGGTAGTCGGTGTATTTCAATGATCTCAGTCGTAATTTGAGTATTTCTATGATGCTTCTCTCCCCGCTCAAGTCGATAAGTGATAGCGAAAAAAGCCTCAAAATATATAAGAAGGTCTATAGACAACGTTTTTTACATAATAGTGGCGGTAAAAATATATCCACTACACGATATCGTCCCGTGTGTGTAGTAAGAAGCGACAGAGCGATACTGAAGCAGTAGATGAGTTGCAGCATCTTCCTGAAAACAATTCAAAATAATAAAAAACTGCTGTTGCCAACCGGCATGCCAAGCGTGACAACTATGGAAAAATCCGCCCTATGAAGCAATCAATTGCCTATGTTAAGCAGTGAACTTTTATGGACTGTAATGGATGCTAGATTAAAATAAACTTTAGTTGTGAAATTATTTAAATTTAATAACTTCTTGTCTAATTTTTAATATATAAGGGTGACAAACGAGCACACAGTTCACCTGATGGTAAGTGGTTGCTGTGACATCTACATCTATCCTCGATTACGAATCAAAATGCAGATGCGTTGTCACCCGTGAGGGCTAAGATGGAATACTTCGTTTCCAGTAAAAAGGGTCTCCGGTTCTCTACACTCCCCATACGAAACAGCAGCGTTAAGCTGCTATTTTAAGTTGGTATTTAATTACGGTTTACATAACGTCTGATAAAGATTTTGGTGATTTTCAACGCGTCGCTAATAAGAACAGAAAAAGTTAAACACTTCTGTCAGTGATGTGTCGGGTCAAAGTGCGAGTCGGACTCGCGCATGAAGGGTTCCGTACCATCACACGTTTCTAATCGGGGAGCCCTCTTCAATTTTAAATTTATTTTAATTATCTGTCGTTATAGCGGCAACAGAAATACACATTCTGTGAAAATTTCATATTGCCTACCTATTACAGATCATGAGAGATGAGAGACAGCTCGCTGACAGACAGACGGAAGGACAGTAGAGGCTTAGTAATAGGTTCCCGTTGGTTACCTTTCGGGTACGGAACCCTATAAAAGTAAACTTACTGTTCCCCTTCCTTGTACACTCGAGCTTCTAAGTTCCGTATGTCGTGCCTTATGTCGGCAATGAGCAGCAGCATCAGGTCAAGCGAGCCTTTGGGTCCGCGCCCACCCCTTGGGCCCCTGGGACCCATGTCGCCTTTTGGTCCTTCCATACCCGGGGGACCTGGGGGACCCTAAAACAAATACGTTTTCAAAGTTTCGAAAATACAACGCAGAGCAACCTGAATTACAAGTTTTTTTTTTATAAGACAAATGAGCACACATGGTAAGTGGTTGTTGTGACCCATAGACATCTACGTCTAGAGCGTGGTACTTCCCCGGTCGAGCCGTCCCATTCGTGCTATAACTATACTACTAATATAGCTGCAGCATGGTTCTACCACGTAAAAAAATCAACGGTACTTTACCTATCAAGGTTTATCAGGGACTGAAGGTTAAGAAGCGGCTACAAAAGCTGCGGTCATTTGCTTTAATATTCTTTGCTATATTTGTACACCAACACACATTAAAACAAAAATGAAAATGTAATAAATTACATTTTAGACAAGGTAGAAAAGGTGGTCCTTTTTTAAATAAAAATGGATGATGAGGTCTACGATGGAGCGAGTTTGCCCAGGAGAAGCCTGTTAAGGCAACACTGCGAAAAAAAGCACCTCCTTTCATCAAATAGTATAGGAGTATGACACTACAAACGAAACTGAAATTTTGATACAGGTAAATTCATGTCTTCATCTTGAATTTGCTTGTTCAAAAACACGATTGTAAAATTTTGACTCGATCATAATTATTTGCGAAAACACCTCCAAAAAATCACTATAGTTTAAATTACAACGAAATTACTTAATCTATATGCCTGGGAACCACTCAAATACATTCATAACATCAATATTCGTAATTTACTTGCTCATTATTTTGATTACTAAAATCAATAATTTTTAAAAAATATTTTTAGATTCTAAGCGATTTCTGAGCGATCTGAATCGTGTCGGGCGCTACGCAATTTTAGACCTTATGACGGCGTTTTTGAAGTTTTTATAGAAATTATGTTTCACTCGGGTCAGTCCGGCGATAACACCCGCTTTAACGGTTTTCGAATTCGATGTGTCGCCTTAACACGCACCACGGACCTCTTCAAAGCCAGGTTATAGGTACTCGGAAAAACATTATAAAAATAATTTTTAGCGCGGTCATATTGCTTTTAACGCAATTTGTTAAGATAGAGTCGTGGTTCTGTCCGTTGCGGTAATTTTTCTGGTGCATGCAACGAGGATGGTTTTGCTGAGAGGCTGTCCTGTGTTACATTGAGATCCTGTGTTGCTGTTGGTTTGCATACTTTGGTGTTATCATGTCATTATATCATTCACGTTACACTATTGAGTAATTGTGACGAGGTAGAAATGCGGTATGATCAAAATGTAATTGTCTATACTGCTTGTATAGTGCAGTTACGCTGTTTTATTATCACTAATGATTAACTGCGTAAGCAAGAGAGCAAGTTGAACATCCGCTCTCACGCTTTTACTATTTTAAACAACTAACCTTTCCTGACGTATTCCCGCTAGTTGCGACAAGTAAAAGGAAAAATAAAATAAAAATAAAAACACAAGATGAGGATAGTTGAAGGTAATACAATATGATATGACATGTATGATACAATATAGGGCGGGAAGTACGGTGGGAAATATTAGAGTTCCAAGTAATAAGCCTTGAGTAGATTTTTCAATGAAATAATTTAAAATTTTGTACAACCGACTTCAATATAAATTATTAAGAATAACTCAAAAACTGTTGGTCAGACCTTGATCTAAATTTATATGAGACCACATGTGAAGCACCAGCTTTCAAATAAAAAAAGAATCATCCAAATCGGTTCACGCAGAAAAAAGTTATGAGGTAACACACAAAAAAAACATACAGTCGAATTGAATATCTCCTTCTGTATGAAGTCAGTAAAAAGAAATTGAGCACGTTCTTTACACAGGGTTATTTTTCAGAGAGTAACCAAACTTTAAACTTAAGTTCAAATATATAAATAATGATATACCGTTATTGCAGTAAATAAGGCTTCTAATTTTATTTGAAACTAGCTGTGCCCGCGGCGTAGCTCGCGTATACAGGTTTTACATAAACAATTTGTCGTTTAGGTAAGAGAATATTAAACGATTTATTTCATTACTGTATCAATAAGTGGTAACTAAATAAATCGTTATCATCAAAGTTCTAAGTCGTTTATGATAGAGCTTCTATGTAAACGACGTGAGAAGTAGGCTTAGCCGGGGTGTACACTAAAAGGTTACGGGGGCTACTAACGCCGGAAAAAGCAACATAGAGTTGGCCATGTGCAAAACAGTCAGTACTGAGGTACACTCCTACAACGCGTAAAGTTTGACCTTGCGCTTTATTTACGGTCATCGCATAACACACGCTCACTGTAACTGGGAACTGAACGCGCTTAAAACTGAAAGGAAAGTTACTTCTTAATAGAGGGTTTTTGGGCAGTGCTGCCAGATAAAAAAAACTAATTCAGCTCTAGGACAACACAAAAAGCGCTAGATTTCATGAAAACAGCGCTTTAAAAAAGCCCTAGATTTCGCGCTAAATTAACTACAAACAAAGTTTGTGTTTTTTTATATAATCATAATAAAGAAAACAACATTAAGTTTTTTTTTCTGGCAATATTTTTTTGATGTATCAATACTTCGCAGGACATCGACTTATAATTATGGCAATTGCTGTCAACAGTAGTTAGTACTGTACGAACAATAAAAATGTCATTAATTGTTTTAAAGTGCAATGTATTTCGCAACTTAGTTTCAGATGTCAGCATCTGATTGCGGTTGCTACACAGTTTCTTTGTGTTATAACTTCTAAGTAACTTTTAACTTAGCTGTGCTCTAAGCAACTGACTGAAACTGAATAAAGCAAAATAAATGCGTTGCCAAAACCATGAACAAAAACTTTAATAAAGGGGTTTCCCCGCTTATAGTCGTCGGTAAAAAAATCAAGTTGATCATCCTAAAGGGGAAGCCAGGAGATCCATAGCACAGGGTATCCTAGTTTGGACTCGTCTCCCATGCTCTTTGTTTTGTGGAAAAAATATGTTTGAAAAAGATAAACTGCAATGTACTATTTGTGGGAAAAAAATAATAAAGGTCATTATTATTATTATCGGTAATGTGGACTAACAGTGCTGCTATAAAAGAGTTAATAACCCGCTAGTCGCTAAAATATTGAAATGTGTGCTAAATACACCAAAAAGCGCTGGATTAAGCTAGGGCTAAAATTTCGAAATGCGCGCTATACATTCCAAAAAAGCGCTAAATCTAGTTCCCAAAGCGCTAAAGTGGCTGTACTGATTTTGCGTATATTATAAATACAATATCACGACATTTCGTTGCAAAATTTTTATTTTTGGTCGGGTTCCGTTGTAGGGCTTCGATGGATACAAATTTCTTCAGTAAGTCTCAATACAATTCATCGGCGAAAAATCTCAACACAGCAATTCAGAAAAGTTTGTTATTTGTACAACTCCATCTATTACGTCCTTTGTGTGAGAAAACATCCTTTTTAAATCTCTTTTTGTGTTTTAAGTATAAATATATTAATTATTATGGAACGTTTTTTTTACACACAAATCTTTTTATTACTATTTATGAGATTTTATGGCGCCATTGAACAAATTCGAACCTACATTTCAAAATAATAATCGTTACTTTTGATAGAATTAACCAATTTTAATAAAACAAAGATTAAATGTAACTCGAAGATACGCTTTATGATTTTCTTAACGATTTCTTTGAAAATAAAATATGTTTACTTTAGACGTGATGCGTTCATATAATAACAGACAAATAGACATACAGACAATTCTAAAAATTATAAAATGTTCTTATTTAATTATTTTCAGTTCCCCATAATGATTTTAGCCACCAAAATATATACCTATACAATGTACAGAAAGAGACACAATATGTTATTATCATTTTTATTATATGTATATATTTAAAGAGAGATGGCGCTGCTAACATCAATTCTAAAAATAAAAGAGATTAATTGACGCGATTGATACATTATATAAAACGCAAGAGTACTTATAAATCAGTGCCTGCACAGTAAGCAAAAAATAAACTTTGACTCTCGCCAAAACCAACGATTTGTTAATAGCTCTTTTAAAATTTGATTTACCACATAGAGTACTCGGCGGTAAAGAATAAATTGAGTTTATCAACACGCAGTAGGGCAGCGAGTAATATAATAAAGATTAGCAGTAAATATGAAAACTCATCTACAGGAAAAAAAAAAACATTGCAATTGCATTACATTTTCACAACACCACCATCTATCGAAGAAATGGGAAAACTATTGTGCTTCAGATTTAGTTAATAAGGTTAATATATTTTTGTATAATATATTTAATACGTTTTTTAATACTTTTGTTTACTGCGTTTTAGATATACATAATTATATCATTATTTTACATAATTTAACTATGATTTATGATATGATATTAGTTTAAAATGCACCTGATGACTCAAACAAAGCCACCGTTGAGCAAATTCGTACCTATACTTCCCTACCCATACTTCAGAATATTTATCATAACTTTTGATGGAATGAACTGATTTTAATGAAATAAAGACTAAATGTAACCCGAAGATACACTTTATAATTTCCTTAACAATTCTTATGATATAAATTAGTACTTTATACGTGATACGTTAACAAACAAACAGACAGACAGACAGACAGACAGACAGACAGAAAATTCTAAAAATGGTAGAAATGTATTTAATTACTTATTTTTAGTACCCCTCAATCACTTTTATTACAAAAATATAAAATGTACAGACATCTGCTATTTACAGTTTTATTATATGTATAGATTATACCAAATTAAATATGACTGGGCGACAACGTTTTTGCCTATCGATCGACCCTTACGAATACGTGCGTGCGCAGTAAAATCAGTTAAAATAATGCATTACCGCGCATTTTGAATTTAAAAGATAAAATAGGCAGAATGTTTGAGATTTTTTCAATTAATTTTTCTTGACCATCTGCTTTTATTACTTATTCGGAACGTTCTCTGCTTTGGCCGGTTATTGCAAAATAACCCTGTATATACCTAAAGATTTATTTAATAAAAAATATCTGAGAGGCTACATTTAAGATGACATTATCTCTATTTATCATCTCTCTATTCTATCAACTCGTTACACTTAGTACGATAGACAAATCGCATCTAAATATCACCGATGCCTATACTTATATTAACATTACAGAAATATTTTTAACGGAGTAGAGCCGTGCTGCAGCTATGTATATTATGATTTTACTACGAATGGGTCGGCTCAACCGGGTAAGGACCACGCTGTTTCAGAATACCAGCGTAAAATAGGAGCTCAACCCTTTCGCTGTCCCTACTACATATAGACAATACCAATGCCTTACTATTGTGTCTGAAAATCGGACAGTTAGTGTTAATATTGCATAGTGTGTAGTGTAGAGAACCGGAGACCATTTTTACTGGAAACGAGGCATTCCATCTTAGTCCTCACCTGCATTTTGATTCTTAATTGAGGAAAGATGTAGGTGTCTATGGGCCACCGCATCCATTTACCACCAGGTGGACTGTGTGCTCGTTTGACACCTCTATTCTGTAAAAATATTAATCTTGTTATGACAGGAAACGTGTTACTAACTCTGGGTCCTCTTTCACACCGGCAGTACCCACCCTCCAGCGGCGCCGTGGAGTCCAGCACCCTGTATGTGAATGTGCCCTCAGGGAATCGGTCACCATCTGTAATATCAAATATATTTTTTTTCTTTAGAGCATGTTACATGGACAAGGTTCGCAAGGCCGAGTATAGGTCACAAGCACGGAGTAATTACAAAGAGGAGGTGTTGTATTCAATAAAACTACTTTTACTGATTCTATCGCGTTTAATTAACTTATTTTTATTAATTCCCGACGTTTTGAGTGCTTTACAGCACCCATGACCGTAAATATAAGAAATCATTAGGAGGTGTTGAAATTAGATTTCACTATGTAACAACGCGTGACAATTTGCGGTGTGAGGGGGTGTTAAGCCCCGCCCACTTAACTGTTTTCCATCTACCGATAAATAGTAAAACTACGCATCGTTCCATATCGATGTTGCAGTATAGTTTAGCTACCTTGACGACAGATGGCGGCCTGTTCACAAATGAAAAACTTTAAAAATAATATTTTAGCGTATAAAAATTCTCTTTCAAATCTTAGTATTTGCTCCGTGGTCATAAGCAACAATCTTCCAGACGTCCACTCCAAATCTCTCTATTAATTTTTTTTTATAATGTCACATCTATCCTAATATTCAAAATGTATATGTGTTGTCACCCCTGAGGACCGAGATGGTACTCCTCATTACCAGTAAAAACGTTCGTCGGTTCTCATAGTACGTGGTAGAGCAATGATGTACGTGGTAGAGCCATGCTGCAGCTATATTGTGGTTATAACACGAATAGTCGGCTCGACCGGGGAAGGACCGCGCTCTTACATAATACCAGCGTAAAATAGCAGCTCAATGCTGCTGTGATTTCGTATGGTGAGTGTAGAAAACCTTAGGCCCTTTTTACGAGATACAAGGCGTTCCACCTTATACCTCAGGGATGACAACGCATCCGCATTTTAATACTTTATTGAGAATAGTTTTAAATTTCTAGGGCCACAGCATCCACTTACCACCAGGTGGACTGTGTACTCGTTTTTCATCCTTAATTCATAAAAAAAAAACAAAGGATTACGTCACTTTACTCAGAAATCAAAAGACAATCTAACCTGGTTAATAACAGTAAATGTGCGCAAATCCAACGAGATAAACTTCTAGGTAAAAAGTCTTTATGTGGAGTACATACACTGAAAGTGTTATTCATGCTGCAGCCAATACAACTGCAGCGTGTCTTTACCAATGAAGTATAAAATATAGCAACGTGTGATTTCGTTGAAAACTGAGTTTTACAACCGAGATAACTACAGCTTTGACTGATTATTATACCTATGAAAAATTGACTAAGTTATTATCCGTATTCTAATGAATCCATTTCAAAAAATGCACCGATTATTTTTCCTAGAACAATATAAGAAGGAGGTTGTGTCTATATGTTTTTCTTTTATTTTTATGTTAGTTATAATTTGGTTTTGAATGTCCGATGGTAGTATAACTGAAAATTTTTTATAATTTTAGAAGGTCACTAGATTTAAAATAAATAATTTATAAAAAAAAAACAAGCGAAAGAAAAATGGCAGATATAAATTATATCGTAACAATATTTGGTGTCATTGTTCTGTCTGAGAACAGAGAAAACCGTTTGTGTGGACGAAACGCCCGCCCAGATAGAAGAGATCATTTGTCTAGTCGTTTGCTAAAGCTTACTACTGACATCACATAACCTTAGTGGATTCTAGATGAAAATTTAAATAGTTATTTACAGTATACACACCTTCACCCTTGAGCATCGGGTTTTCCAACAACTTCTTGAGCGTCAGCTGCGTTGTGTGCAGCTGATCGCTTAGCTGCTTCACTTTCCGAGACAGCCAGGACACCGTGTCGCACGGGGCATAGCATCTTGAAGACGCTCGTACAAGTGGCAATGGTTCCTGGAATTAAAGACTCACTCACAAACTCACAGTTCATTAGTTTCTTTTATATTTTTTATAGAATAAAGGTGGCAATCGAGCATAGTCCACCTGATTGTAAGTTGATACTGTATCTTCAATTAAATAATCAAAATGCACATACGTTGTCGCCCCGGAGGACTAAGATGGAATGCCTTTCCGGTATCCGGTAAAGAACACTCGCCATACAAAACACAGCGGCATTAAGCTGCTATTTTACGCTAGTATTCTCTAAGAGTGTTGTCCTTCCCCGGTCGAGCGGATCTATTCGTGCCACAACCATAAAATTGTTGCAGCATGGCTCTACCACGTAAACATTTTTAACGTGGTAGATCCATACCAATTTAAATAAAATTGTACAAATTAGGGCCTTTTTTATATCGTAAGAGTTTGACGAGCAAACGAGCGTGCGGCTCACCTCATGGTAAGTAAATACGGCCACCCATGAACAACTGCAACACAAGGGAAAATACAGATGTGTTGCCGGCCTTTTAAAAAAATATTAGGCTCTTTTCTTGAAGAGTTCCCTAAGTATTCTCGGTAGGAAAAATGGTAAGTGGACTCCGAAGACCACAGACTCTGTTATCTATCTTCGGTCAAGAACACGTTGTTACTTCAGAAGCCTACGATAGAACGCTTCAATGAGTCTCCGATTCTCGACGCTTTTTTTACACAAGACACAGCAATATTACGATGTTGCCTTAGGTTGGTATTCTTTGAGAGCCTGGTACTTTCTGTCGAGTCGACCAATTCGTACAGCGCCCATTATAAGGCCCTGGAGCATGGCTCTACCTCTGACAGATCTAAGTCTAAATTATGAACGACAGTTTTTTTTTATAAGTAAGGTCGTTCGTATATATATAATAATAAATATTCCTACTATAATACGCAACCAGTAGAGCTAGTTATTATGTGGGATTTTTTTTTCATTTCATTCTTTAAAAAATTATCCCCTCACAAGGATTTCTCCTGTATAAAGTAATATATTATATTATTTTATACAGGAGAACAGCCACGCTGCAGCTATATTATGAATCTCCTGTATAAAAAATGAAATGAAAGGGGATAATTTTTTAAAGAACGAAATGAAAAAAAAAAATCCCACATAATAACGATTCCCACTAGTTACACAATTGCTGTACTGGTTGCGTATTATAGCCAGAATATTTATTATTATATATATCCGAACGACCTTACTTATATATATATATATATATATATATATATATATATATATATATATATATATATATATATATATATATATATATATATATATATATATAAAAACATGGGCTTATAATCGATACTGATAGGGCTAGATTAGATAACTGCCTAAGAGCCCTGCGGTCTTAGAGAAAAACATTTTATGTGATAGAGGAAGTTGGAAAAGGGAGAGGAGCCTGACACTCGTATTGTTTAGAGGCATCTACGTGGATTAATCCGGGATACTGAGACATTTATCCAATCCAACGAAAACAAACGTTAAAATGAAGTTTTAACAGAGCCACGCGGCACCTTTTGCTATCGCATGGATGGGCCGGCTCGAACCGGGGTGGTACCACGACCTCACAGAAAACCAGCGTGAAGTAGAGGTTTACCTCTGCGTTTCGCTTGGTGAGTGCAGGTGGCCGGAGGCCCTTTTTACTGGAAATGAGGCATTCCATCTTAGTCCTCACGGGTGACAACGCATCTGCGTTTTGATTCGCGAGCGAGGATAGATGTAGATGTCTATGGACCGCAGCAACCACTTACCATCAGGTGGACTGTGTGCTCGTTTGTCACCCTTATCCTATAAAAAAAAAAAAAAAAAAAAAAAAGCCAACCACGATTCTAAGATTTACGTAGTCGGGTGTACGTTGCCGGACAAGGCTCGGGACAAAAAGGACACAAACTTGTATGGACAGTGCAAATGATGAGCGTACGCACAGGTATGGCGAGTGCGAGGCGGCGGACACACTTCTTGTTGTCTGCGGCGAGGCTGAGCGGCGGCGTGCACTCGCAGTGGAAGCTGCCCGGGTCGTTGACGCAGCGCTGCTCACAGCCGCCATTGTTCTCCGCGCACTCGTCCACGTCTGACAACATTGGAGAAAACAGACATTCGTGTCACATACTATACCAAGGGACGCACTAAAAGATCTTTTCAAATAAATAAAAATTTTAACTGTTGCATTACAGTTCATTTTTAGTCATCAAAATAAGTGGTTTTGACTGCCTTTTTACCCGACTGCCTTAGAAGGGGGGTAATGTTTTTCGAGTGTATATATATGTATGTCTGTTTGTAATGTTAAAATAACAGCATTTTATTAAATGCATATGAAAGTATATACGGTACTAATAACAAAAAACAATTTTTATAGTTTTTGTTTGTCTGTCTGTTTGTTCCGGCTAATCTCCGAAACGGCTGGACCGATTTGACGGGACTTTCACTAGCGTATAGCTAATGTTATAAGGAGTAACTTAGGATACTTTTATTTTAGAAAAAGAATTAAGGTTCCGCGCAAAAAATTAAAACCCATGAAATCGTAGTAAATTCCACGCAAGGGACAGCTAGTATTGAATGAAACGAATCTTATAAGAAATTGTTGAATTGGTGAACTATAAAATCGTTACATTTAAACCTAATGATATTTGCGGTGGGCATTTCTGAAAATTCTCAGAGATCTACCAGTCCAAAAAGAACTTCTTTAAACTCACCAACGCAGTAAGGCTGCACCTTCCTGCGGTAGTTGTCCTCGTGGAAGCGGAACCCTGGGTGACAGGTGCACCAGACCCGGTCCCCGCGCACGTTGCACGCCTGCTCGCACAGCTTCAGGCTGCACGGATCCACAGACTTTGGAATGCATCTAGAACAGTAAGTACGCTTGTTACAATGTGAAATATGCATTGAGAATTATCTATTTCTTATAACTTGTTCTATATAGAAAGAATTTTATCTACATTTAAGTGGTGGGTTGGCAAAATAAAATAAATTGTTAATAGCAACGCAATATGATTCTGTTCATTAAGATGTAATTATAACGTTATCTAAAAAAAAAGAACAAAATAAACTTTTCATTTTACTTTTGCATTTTCTTGCCAATTCTTCTCTATACCGTACTATATAGCGGGAATAATCAGGTTATTGGTACATCATTAAGTTATTGGTAGAACTAAAAATAATACGTGTTGTTTTCAAATGTAATAATCTCACGTTCTTAATCTATCTTTTTTTTTAATAAATTCTAAAGAAACCTTAGAATGCATTGTCAATAATTTAAAATTAAAAATTTTGTACAGCCGACTTCAATATAAGTTATTAAGAATAACTCAAATAACTCAAAAACTATTGGTCTGACCTTGATCAAATTCAATTGGAACCACACGAGAAGTATCAGCTTTCAAATAAAAAAAGAATCATCGAAATCGGTTCAACCAGTAAAAAGTTACGAGGTAACTTACACATAAACTTACTTATATAAAAAAAAAACATACGCGTCGAATTGAGTACCGTCTCCTTTTTGAAAGTCGGCAGAAAACGGGGACAAACACGAAAACCAAATCCATATAGGTAGACTATTATATACATACTACAACCAGGCTAAGGATTCTTCAGATTTACTCTCATTATCTATACAAATAAATAAAATAAGAGCGTTTTACTAAATGCATATAAAAGTATAAACGGTACTTATAACAAAATACACTTTTTTAAATGTTTGTTTGTTTGTCTGTCTGTTTGTTCCGGCTAATCTCCGAAATGACTGGACCGATTTCGACGGGACTTTCACTGGCAGATAGCTGATGTCATAAGAAGTAATTTAGGCTACTTTTATTTTAGAAAAATAATTAGGGTTCCTCACAAAAAAGTTGAAACCCTAAATTATACGCGGGCGAAGTCGCGGGGAACAGCAAGTCATTAATAAAAGCTCAGATTTTATTATCTATGAGAATGAGAATGAAAGTATCTTGGGGCGGGGAAGAGTCCGTCGCACGTTGTATGAATATTTGCCTCTGGTCGGTTTCTTTACTCATGTGGTCGCACGGCTCCAATGTGGATTAGCGTTAGGGTTGCCACCATTATTTCACATCAAATATAGTATTTGACTAGCTGTGCCCGCGGCGTAGCTCGCGTATATAGGTTTTACTTAAAGAATTTGACGTTTAGGTAAGAGAATATTAAAAGATTTATATCATTACTGTATGAATAAGTGGCACCAAAATAAATCGTTATGCTCAAAGTTCTGAGTCGTTTGTGATAGAACTTCTGTGTAAACGACGTTAGAAGTAGACAGCCGGGGCGTACAGAAAAATGTTACGGGAGCTAATAACGCGGGAAAAAGCAACATAGAGTTGGCCATGTGCAAAACAGTCAGTACTGAGGTCCACTCCTGCAACGCGTAAAGTTTTACCTTGCGCTTTATTTACGGTCATCGGTCATCGCATAACACACGCTGACTGGAAATGGGAAGTGGGAACAGAACACGCTTAGAACTGAAAGGAAAGTTATTTGATATAAGGTGGATTCTTGGTATAAAACAACATCATGATATATTGTTTTTGATGCAATTTTGCTACGTTTAGCTTGGGCGTACGTATCTTTTTTCTGATATCTGTTTTTGATGATGTTTGTGCTGTTAGCTTACACCCTACACGGCTCTTTCAGCTTGAATGGACTCGTTAACGTACAACGCCATCTATTACGTTCTTCGTGGAAGACATCCTTTTTTAATTTAAGGAAAACATATTTTTTGTTTACTGTGTTTAAAGTATAAATATATTATAATAAAACGTTTTTTTTTTTTTTATAAAAAGGAATCATTTTATTACTATTTCTGAGGTTTTATGGCGCCTTTAAACAAATCGAACCTACATTTCAAAATAATAATCAATACTTTCGATAGAATTAACCAATTTTAATAAAACAAAGTTAATCTTTGAACTGGATGATACGCTTTATGATTTTCTAAACAATTTCTTTGAAAAAAAGATGTTTACTTAAGGCGTGATGCGTTCATAAACAAACAGACAGTCAGACAATTCTAAAAATTATAAAAATGTATACTTATTTAATGAGTTTCAGTTTCCATAATGATTTTAGTCACAAATTAATATACTATACAATGTACAGAATCAGACACAGCATGTGATTACCGCATGTATAGAGATATAAGGATAGATGGCGGTGTTAAAATCAATTCTAAAAATAAAAGAGATTAATTGACGCGATTGATACAATAAAAAAACTTAAAAGAACTTATAAATCAGGCCTACATCATAAGCAAGAAAGAAAGTTTGATCCTCGCCGAAACCAACGAAATTGTTAATAGCTCTTTTAAAATTTGATTTACCATGTAGAGTACTCGGCGCTAAAGAATAAATGACATTGTCAATACACAGTAGGGCAGCGAGTAATTTAAAGATTAACAGCAAATATGAAAAGTCATTTACAGAAAAAAAACCACAACCTGCCTTCTTGCATGACATTTGTGCAACACCACCATCTATCGATGAAATGGGTTAACTATTGTACTTTAGATTTACACATGAAGCTAATATAAACTTTGTATTTGCTTCATGGATTTACATAATAAGGTTAATATATTTTTTAATATATTTATTACGTTCTTTATGCAATACTTTTGTTTACTGGGTTTTAGATATAATTTCATCATTATAGAACATTATTTTACATCATTTAATTATGTTATGATTTATAATATGATATTAGTTTAAAATGTACTTGATGACTCAACAAACGCCACCATTGTACAAATTCGTACCTATACTCTGTAGCCATACTTCAGAATATTTATCATAACTTTTGATGGAATCAACTAATTTTAATGAAATAAAGACTAAATGTAACCTGAAGATACACTTTATAAATTCTTTAACGATTCTTCTGATATAAATTGGTACTTTATACGTGATACGTTAACAAACAAACAGACAGACAGACAGACAGACAGACAGACAGAAAATTCTAAAAATGGTAGAAATGTATTTAATTACTTATTTTTAGTACCACTCAATCACTTTTATTATATAAATCTAAAATGTACAGACATCGGCTATTTACATTTTTATTATATGTATAGATTAATAACAATTTCGCCATATACTATATATTCACAAGTAAAAAAAACTTAGCATGGTTCAAACTAATATTTTCATTCAAAGGGATAATTATGCTGCTTTGTGTATTCAACAGCCTCACGCCAAAGTCACTTTTTATTTAAATAGATAGATAGATAAGACCTACTGTATATTTTTTTAAGAATAATAATAGAAAATAAGATTTAATAGGGTTGGCTATAATAACTCTAGTTGCCGTGCCATCATGTCCTTGATTTTTTTAAATTTCTCGGACAAGCTGATTCTTGTTTTGACGATGTTTTTCTACACCCCTCCCTTCTGGCACGTGGAAGTACAAAACACATACAAATGTTTTATAGTAACTGCGGTTGGAACTTGAAGCCAGGACGCAAGTACACTGATTACTTGACACTCGGTAGTTTGCGCGGTAGTTGATGCACTCACCGACCAGCAATGTACGTGTGCGAGTCGCAGCAATGCATCCTGATGCACTGAGCGTCGGCGCCGTCCACGCGGCACGTCTCCCGCGACCGCAGCAGCCGGTCCGTCGGACACATCACGTTTTTGTCAGCTCTGAGAACAAACGTGATCATTATGGGATTTTGCTATAGGAACACACTACTTATTTTGAACCTATTACACACCTCGAATGAGAATCGAGAGTGGTTGGGCTTTACTTTCGACTTGACGAAGTTAAGTTACAATCCGCGGCACGTAAGTCTAGGGCTGAATGAAACGTGGAATTTGATTGCACGAATGCGAAAGGAGAGCCAATCAGCGTGTGCGAACGATAAGCACGAGCCAATCAGCGCGACTTATGCGCAATGACGGTCACCGCTAGACTTTCGTGCCGCCACTTACACCCGCTCTCGAATTCGGTATTTTGTCAAATTCGGTATATTATTTCGTTTTGCAGAAGAACGCCTTAAAAGTAATTTACAACCTAAAACCTAAACCAATGCCGCTTTAGTACAAAAAGTAGTTTATAATTAGTTTTAAGAGTTTTAAACTAGTTTACTAAAGACCTAGAGTAAAGAAGTCCTGTGGAAAAAATGCTGACTAAAATGTAAAATATCGACTCCCTCATATCGTACCGTAGCGAATATATTCTTATATGATTCATGCGACAGGGAAAGAGTTAAGATATTTTTTGAACTCGTCGTAACAAATATATAAGTCATCATCATCAACACAGCCCTGCAAAAAGAACCTCCCACAAAAGCACGGTCCTGAGCCTCCTGCATCAATATCGACCTCCTGCATGTCTTCCCAGGTCGTCACTCCATCTAGTGGGGGACCGCCCTACACTTCGCCTATCGGTACGAGTTTAATGCTGCAGTGTGTCGTATGGTGAGTGTAGAGTACCAGAGATCCTTTTTACTGGAAACTAGGCATTCCATTTTAATCTTCAGGGATGACAACGCATCTGCATTTTGATTCTTAATCGAGGATTAATGTGTGCTATCCAATAAAAAAAATTGCGTTTCTTTCTTCACACTACACTTAACTTCATTTTTTAGTTAATTGTTTTTACGCGTTATTTACATTTAAGTAGATTTACAGATGTTCAAAGGTCTAAATATATATAGGTATATTAGCTTTATTCTTTTATTTACGTCACCATTACAGCCCTTCACAAGTCCACTGCTGAATATAGGCCTCCCCCAAGGAATGCCACAAAGCACGGTCCTGAGCCACCTGCATCCACCGACTTCCTGTATATCTTACTAGTTCGTCATTCCATCTAGTGGGGGGATGTCCTACACTTCGCCTGCCGGTACGAGGCTGCCACTCGAGAACCTTTCTTCCCCATCGGTTGTTGGTTCTTCGAGCTATATGGCCGGCCCATTGCCACTTCAGCTTACTAATCCGTTGGGCTATGTCAGTCACTTTGGTTCTACTGCGGATATCCTCATTTCTAAGTTTATAACGCAGAGAAACTCCGAGCATAGCCCTCTCCATAGCTCGCTGAGCGACCTTGAGCTTCCTCATTTCGTGGGAGGCTACTGCGACTGCACTGGTATCTAGTATCTACTCTACTTCCTATTAGTTTGTGGAGGCTGGAGGCACAAAATACACTCAGCGGCACGGAATCTTGGCCAAGCGGTTATCTCGCGATAGCAAAAGCTTTAACTGTTTCTGATGAATGTTTGTTATGCAGGTATGTCAAAAAATGTTTGCTCTCAAGTTCAAGAGGGTAATTCATTATGTTTAAGTGCACCATGACGAATTCTTTAATTTTTAGTTGAATCGGGTCATTTGAGCGACTAAGTTCACATTTTAAATTTGTGTGTTGTGAAAAGTTTACTGTAAGGTTATTCAATTATTGTGATCTTGTGTCTTAATTCAATAACTAAAGGTGCTTTAAAGCCAATAAAAATGCCATTAACACCAGCACAAGTTGCACAAGCAGTAGCATTAATTGACCAAGGGCTGACACAGCGTGAAGTTGCTATTGTGCTTAACGTACCACGGTCCTCAATGCAGTATTCACTGAAACGATACCAGGAGACAGGACGCTACACCCGCAGGCCAGGCAGTGGGGGCGTAAGGTGCACATCGGCCCGGGACGATCGTTTTATTGTTATGGAGATTTTGAGAAACCGCTACCTGACCGCTGTTGAGATACGCCAGCGGCTCCAAATCGCAAGAGGCGTTAATGTTAGTGAGTGTACGGTGAGAAGACGAATGGAGGAAGTGAATTTAAAAGCTCGTAGACCAGCACGAGGTCCAGAACTTCTCAGACAGCACCGAGTAGCCCGACTTCAGTTCGCAAGAGAACATGTCAATTGGACCCACGAGCAATGGGCTAGAGTGTTGTTCACAGATGAGTGTCGAATAGCTTTACGTGCTCCAGACGGTCGAGAACGAGTGTGGAGAAAAAGAGGAGAGAGGTTTCTACCCATTACCACCACCCAAACTGTGAGTTTCCATGGAGGCTCAATAATGGTATGGGGAGGTGTAAGTTCCGACGCACGTACAGAGTTGGTCATCGTCGATAATCGGCTTACAGCTACTCGATACATCGAGGAAGTTCTTCAGGAGCACGTAATTCCTTATTCGGGATTCATTGGACACGACCAATTCCTCCTCATGCACGATAATGCACGCCCGCACGTCGCACATTGTGTAGAGGAATATCTGGAAGAGGTTGGAATACAAAAATTACAGTGGCCAGCTCGTAGCCCGGACTTAAATCCAATTGAGCATGTATGGGGTATGTTCAAAAGAAAGATAAAGTCCAGCTCCAAACCGCCACAAACTCTAAATGAGCTCCGAAATGCAGCGCTGGCCGCTTGGGACAGCATACCGCAAGTTGATGTCAGAAACATCATTCAAAGCATGCCAGATCGAATGCAAGCGGTTATCAGGGCTAGGGGAGGAAACACCCGATATTAAAACTGATAGACAATAAAGAAACAGACTTAATTTTTAACTTTGTAGTGTTTTTAAAGTGACAATGGAAAGATGTTAATTTTAGTGAAAACATGTTATCTTGAAAAGAAAAATTTCGGTGAAGTAAACATTAAATTTCTACGTTCTAAAACCATTAGAGACACTTATTGAATGCATCTACCCTTAATTTACTGTTAAAAAAACGTTTCAGTGCAAATAATCAGCAAATTCACGAGTGGCCAAGTTTCCGTGCCGGTGAGTGTAAAAGAGCAGTCTATTTAGTATTGGAGGCGACTTTGGAAAATGCTAGTAACATCACAGAATAAATAATAGTTAAATAACATCTCATAGATTCTCATAGATCTCGTTTAACGCCAGTTGTAAAATACACCCGCGTCAAAGGTGTGAATAGGCATAGTGTTTATTATAACAAATCCTTCAAAAAAAGTTGAAATGATATTTTAGAAGAAGATTCAGGTTTTTACGGTGCCAACTTAAGTTTAAAAATTGTAAGATATTTATGTGCTTAAAAATATTGAATATTGTAATATTAATTTTAAAATTGTAAAAGCTATTTTCGATATAAATTTCACGGCATAAATTCCTTTTGAACTATTTATTATAAAATATAATAGGTATAATGTATAATATTGTTGTTCTTTCTTCCCGATGGCAAATGTTTAAAGTGAATATTTTATTTATTTTGAGACTACGGAAAAATAACTTGTAAGAATTCTGTATATTGCAAGAAGATGGCGTTGTCATAAAACATTAAAGCTCCAAAGAATTATCGCATTAATGAATAATCAGATTATGAATTATGAAGTTCAATATTGTAATCATGATTGTAATGTAAACATTGACGTCGACACGCGCAAATGTTTCGGTTTAATAATATACTATCTTATCGATGGAGTACCTACGTGTTCTAAATATAGTGATGTCATGGATGATGATGTCACTAGACTAAAAGATGATAACGTAAAAATGCCAACGTTACCAACGGAGATCTCTTAATATATTTTAATAAAAGCAGCCGTTTCCCTGAAACCAAATTATATTAAGCTGTGTCATTATGTGTTTGGTTTTGACCAGTACTGCTATATCTCATAAACAAACACTGACTAAGAAGTAGTCTTAATAGTGACCTATGTTGTAAACCGAACTTCAATAATTTAATATTTGTACAGCCGACTTCAATATAAGTTATTAAGAATAACTCAATAACTATTGGTCTACCCTTGGTGATTCATATCGAACCACACGAGAAGTACCAGCTTTCAAATAAAAAAAGAATCATCGAAATTGGTTCACCCAGTAAAAAGTTATGAGGTAACACTAACACACATAAAAAAATATACAGTCGAATTGAGTGCCGTCTCCTTTTTGGAAGTCGGCAGAAAAGGAGGAGGTACCTACTCAATTTGACTGTATTTTTTTTCTTTTTATATGTGTGCTAATTCCTTTTTTATTTAAAAGCTGATGCTTCTCATGTGGACCCATATAAATTTGATAAAAAACTGACAGTAGTTTTTAGAGTTATCCTTAATAATTTTTATTGAAGTCAGTTGTACAAATGTTGAATTTTACCACTTGTTAAAAATATTTTCATATAATCTGATAAAAACTAACAACGCTAGCGCATTATCAGAGAGACCCCACATTCTGAATTCTGATATACATTTGGTGTGGACCCGAAGGCTTATTACGTGAATGAGCCACAGTGATTATTACGTTTAGTTTATTACGTGAATGAGCCACACTGCAGTTGCGTTAGAGCTGCACACAATCGGTAGCATCAACTAGGAAGGAGGACTACATATTCACAGAATACGTACTATTCATACAGCGAAAAATAGCAGCACAATGCTGTTGGTTCGTATGGGGCGTCATAAGAACCGGAGACCGTTTTACTGGTTAGGATACATATAAAAGTATGATAGCCTAGTCCTCAGGATAAACGCATTTTCATTTTGGTTGGGTTGGTCTATGGCTCACAGCATCCACTTACTGTGTGCTCAATTTTACCTTTGTTTTGTACAAACATGATACGTTTTTTCAAGGCACTTAGGTTTTATAAACTACTAAGGTACCATAAACTACTTTTAGCAATTAAGGTTAAACTTCAAAATATTCATGATTTAAAAAATAGCCTGCAATATTCTTTACCTGCTTAA